CACCTCACTACATCTTACATTGGTGCATGCCTCACTATCAATGATACCCTTTAATACCCATTCCCCAATCGTAACATTAATATGGAAGATACTTTTTCTCTTCCTTTCATTGTCGCTAAGTTAGGATCACAAGCCCAATCTAACATCAATACCTCTCTTATATCAGCCATAACTTTCTCTAAGCCCTCAAGCTCTTGCTCCTCATCACACTCAACCTTTGGCTCAACCTTCTTAAGCTCTTCCTCCTCTTCGATTTTCTCAATCAAAGTCACAACCCTCCTATTTAGACATTCTAAAGTTATATGCCTCAAACCTAAATATTTAAAATATTGAATAGGTCTTGAGTTTATGAAGGATCATACATCCTATGGAGGTATGGAATAAACAAAAAAATTTCTCCATCTAAAGGGCCCAAGATCATGTCGTTAGATCGACTAACTATATATACATGAATTAAAGTAATGAATAGAGAATTACCTCTTATAGCGTAGATCTAAATTCTTTAACGGAAAAGTTATCCAATTGTTCAGCCTCTATTAATGATCTACGTAGTCTAAGTACCCATAAAGAAGCACTTAAAATTGGTAGCGTGCTAACTCTACCTTTTCCGATTTGTGTAGTGTTTTCTATAGAAATCTAATCCGGGTAAGTTTGCAACAACCCAAAGAGAGAGAGAGGAGGTAGCATGCTAGGTTTAGGGAGAAAATAATTTTCTCCTTATTTTATTTCATACGTGTATCCCTTTTAATTTTCTTAATGTTCTAAATTTTCTCTCCCAAAACTATTTCTTTATGCTCGCACCTCTCTTCCTATTTATAGGGGGAGAGAGGGGTAGCAAATAAGTCCTAATTCGACTTATGCCTATTGCTTCCTAATCTTTCAAGGATTATGAGTTATTTTACATATGGGCTTTTGATCTTCATCTTTAAAACATTTATTATTATCCAATAAGGTTGATGTTTATCCTCCTACCAAAATATCTTAAGGCTTTTAATCAAACCAATTGGGCCAAAATCATTTTGGTCTAATTAATTGATTTGAACTATCCAAAAAAATAATCTTAGATAATTTTAGACGGCCTACATTAGGAAATAATTTCTCAAAATACCATTTAACCTAAATTAAGAAATTCATTTCCATTTTAGGTTATTTACTTCCAAATTTAGAACCAACTTCCAAATTAGGAAACCGATTTATAAAATAGGAAACTTTCCATTTTTTTCCATTTTAGAAAACTTCCATCTAAGAAAAATTTCCATTTTAGAAAGCTTTTCATTTATGAAAACCTTTTCCAAAATTGGAAACTTTTTTCAATGTCTTTGTTTCTCTTTAATCATGTGAGTACTTAAACTTATGCATGTGACTCAATGAGCTCTAAGATATGTTGGCAATATATCAAGAACAAAAGACTCCTCTTTTATATCTTAATACATAAAACAAGATTGACCTCTAGCAAGGCATCATGACTATCAAATTCTCTAAGAGGATTAATTAATCCACTATTACTTTTTACGAGGATGGTTACCATCGAATTTAGTCATCATGTCAACTTATCACGGTGTCATCCGAAAATTAGTTATAAGTTTTGTTCGATTATGATCACACAAGTTTTCTTCGATTCCTAAATGTCTTAGCTCTTAGAGTAAATCAACTATGCTCTATTGGTGTACTCCTACTATGTCCATAGATTTTTTGAGCGGACATTCATTGAATTTCAATGTGATAATTCCTTTATAATATAAGAAATGACATGTCTTATCTTAGTCATATACCTACCTCCGAGTAGATTCCTAGTGCACCCAACGAATCGCCCACGTGCAACCCTTTACTAGGTCCATCAAAACGAGTGTCAAAGTGCATAAATCCTCTAATGAGATAATTATGATGACTTCAAGTCTAAGGATCAATTATATCCATCTCGTATGATATTCCCATAGACTAAACCAAAAGGGTTCTCATAGCGAGTCAAGTCCGGTGATATGTTCTCTAACATAAATCACCTAAGTGCTTATTTTAGCATCATTATACCAATAGGTGTGAGACTTCTACTACTATCACATAGCATGAGCATGGCACTTACAAGTCTATCTCCATATAGTCAACATTCATTCTTCACAATGCTATGAATTGGGACGTTTAATGATATCATTTATATGCATTATTATTTGTCTCACATCTTTCGATCAATCATTATTGCAAATACATATCATAAGGACTTCTATCTAATTCTACTCGAATTAATAAACATAAAAGCATAAGAATTAATGAAAATACTTCTTTTATTATTATGAAAATAAATGATGCAATAATACAATAACTCAAGCTCATCCAAACGTGGTTGGATCTTGGGCACATACACTAACAGTTTAGACTCGTAGGTTTTAATTTGATAATACCTCCGAGTGTGCCTTCTTCTCTAGGCCAAACCCCTGCAGGGTTTATTATTATGCTCCTAGCTATACCGTTCCATTAGTTGTCACCTCTCGACTACTTGTTGGTGTACTACTTTATCCGGACATTTATGATGTCTCTCCACCTTTTTGGCTAGTTTTATAATATCCTTTAAGGTATGGTATTGTTATTGTTTTACAACATCGACGAATGTCGGTCGTCAATCCATATATAAATTAGACCATGGTGTACTCATCGACCTCATTAATGTCACGTCTAAGCATGAGTTACTCAAATTCAACGACATAATCCTCCACACTCATGGTGCTCTATTTCAAGTTATGGAATCAAAGAAAAGTATCTTGACTATGAAATTTAGATAAGTATTTAGATTCCAATACCTTTTTCATATTCCCACATACGACTATCTTGGCCTTCCCCTCATGTGCTCTTTTCCTCTTAATGTTCTTTCACCATAATGTGGCATTCTTTGTTAGCTTGATGGCGACGAGTTTAACCTTATTGTTTTCTTGTACATCATGAAAGTCAAAGACTTTTTCCATTCGATGCGGCCACTCTACAAATACATCGGAGCTAAGTCTTTCCTTAAATTCAAGGATCTCAAATTTGACTTCATAATCATGGAACCCTTACGACTCCTTATATCTTCTACAAGCTAAAAACATTACCTCTTCTTCTTGAGAAGATTTGACACTCATATCATGGAAAGGATTCTCTTCGAGCGACCCTCGAGAACTCTTTCTCCATTAACCGACTCATGCCTCTCTTCGAGCACATAGTTTATCTCTAAATCTTGGTTCCTACATCCCAACTCAATGTTCGCTTATTATATTCTTTAATTGCCCTTTGCATATCGTACATGGTCATTCAATCAATGATTGCTCTTATTATAATGCTTTAATTGCCCTTTACCTACATCGCAACTCGACATTGGCTTATTATAATTCTTTAATTGCCCTCTCGCATATCGTACATGGTCATTCAATCAATGATTGCTCTTCTTAGTGGCATCTTTATATTCGACCAATAAACAATGAGAAGCAAACTTAAGCTCGATACCAAATTAATGTCGGATTAAGATGATAAACCATACGAAAGCTCAAGCAACAACAAGCAACACACGAATAATCCTAGGCTAAAACAATCAAGGTGTAAAATAACTTTAAATAAACCCCAATCAGACCTCAAAAAACACCTAGACCAAGATCAATTCTCAATTCGCAAACCTTTCAAACACACGACCCAATCAAAACCCACGATAACCAAACAAACACACATGTTATCCTCAACAAGAATATATGCTTTCACCACTCAAATTAGATCAAAACGAGTATGAAATTTTTACACGACTTATATACTACCTAGGAGAATGTGTATATCAAATTTTAGGTTAATTTAAGCCCAATAGCCCCTATTTTAAAAAATTCAAAATTCTAGATAGAATATGTTTCGAATTTACACCAACTTCCACAACCCAAAAACAAAAGAAAATATTTTTTATTTTATTTTCTAAATTTTTAAAAGTTAAAAAAAAAAACCCTTAACTAGTTACTCGTCAAAATTTCAAATTAAAATAAAATTCCTAGTTTTGGTTTTTACGGATACATACATACATATACATATGTATGTATGTATGTGTACACACACACACACACACATATATATATTAAATTAAACAAATTCTCAAAATTAGTGTTAATTAATTTTTATTTTACTCCTAATTCTTTTAATTGTTTAAAATATTATATAGACTTACATGCAATATCATATGGGTATTATGCTAGTAAGTTCTAAAAATATGGCTTGTACATTCTTTTGTTAGGGTTAAATACCTCGACAATGTAGGGTTTATTTCTTTTTAAAAATAATGATATAATAGAGCAAAATTTAAATTTAATGTCTAATGAGTTTCTTTGTAGGCCGGTGAAATTGTGCAATATATAATAACTTCCACTCGACGAATCGGGCATCATAAAAACATGCCAAGAACCATAAAAATTGTTGCAAACAGATGCTCATGGTTAGCGATAACAACAGACGAGGTATAAAATAGATTATTACTTTATCCTATTTAATAAATACATATTAAAAATGTTCAATAGATATTAAAATAGGTAAAGATAAAAAAAAATACGTATTAATATAGTTTCCGAGTATAAACACGGATAAAAACTTATAAATAAATGATCATAATGTAAAATAATAATAATAATAATAATGAGGACCAAAAAACTGAGATATTTTCTCCATATTTCGTACAAACCAACATGATTAAGACAACAATATCCTTAGTTGTCAACTAATTAACACATTTAGGGACAGGCGTCTCTTCTGCTAGCTACTAGCTTGAGTGTGAATTAGTCGACAACATGCCATTCTTTAACACGGAGTATTTTTTGTCTCAACCAAGATTTCAATTCAAATTAATCTGGACCCGACCCTAACCTTTTATCCATTGGTTGCCTAGCATCATTTCCCGAAAGAGAGAGAGACAAGCAAATATATTAAAAATGCCTTGTTGGTTCCCATAATCTCTCTCTCTCTCTCTCTCTCTCTCTCTCTCAAAGAACGCAAAGACAAGTATAAAGATGTTGGCATCCATGGCTACCCAACTCCAAATCCAAACCCACTTACAACCCTCAACGTTTTCTTCACAAAGCCTCCAGCTTAAACCCCTTAAAACCCCTATATTTTCTATCACACCAAAACCTTCTTGTTTTCACTTAAAATCCCTTTCTGCTCTCAAAACCCCAGCAAGACTCAAAATTTCTGCTTCAAGAGCTCAACAAACACTCCCTGTAGAAGAGCAAGAAGAAGAAACATCCACTGGGAAAGAGGTTACTTTGCACACAATACCTTTGAATGTCCTTTTCTTTTTTTTTCTTTTTTTTTTTAATGTATGATTTAGCAACTGGGGACTTTTTTTATCTTAGTTATTTGTTTATTCCATTCTTTTCTTGCTTGATTGAATAATGAACTCAATTGGGTTTCATGGAACTGATTTGCAATGAGTGAAAAGGGTTTTTTTTTTTTTTTACTTCATCTTTTTTGATAGTGAGAAGATAGAAGAAAGCATTAGTGAAAAGAATTGAAAAGGTTTCTTTTTTCTTTTCCTTTTTTTCAATATTGTAGAAGCTTGGAGTGGTGGTGAAGCCAATGGAGAAACCAAGAGTAGTATTGAAGTTCATTTGGATGGAAAAGGTAATTGGAATTGCACTAAACCAAGTGATACCAGGCCATGGCACAATCCCTTTGAGTCCCTACTACTTTTGGCCCAAGGAAGATGCTTGGGAGCAGCTTAGACTATTGCTGGAAGGCAAGCCATGGATATCACTGAAGCAAATGCATGTTCTTCTCAATCAGGCTACTGATATAATTGAATTGTGGCAGGAAACAGGTTCCAGTTTATAGTAATTTACTTACAAATACAGAGAAGTTTTGAAATTTAGGATCAATATGGTATAGTTTGGTTTACAGTAAAATATTACATTAGATTTTGTTTGGATTGTTTGAATTGTCTTTGTTAAAGTAAATGAAATATGTGGTTTCTTGATCTTTCTTGAATGTGAATATCAAGTGAATACCGTGCCCTAGAATACAACTTACTGGAGTGTGATGTGATATGATTTCTTTGTTTGTTATTCTTAGTCAACATTTCAATATATTGCTGGGTTATTTTTCATTAACTTTGTTTCTGTAATTTTAATCATGTTTGAGAAATTGTATTTTGAAGACTGAAAACAGATTAATAGGGATTGTCCACAATTGGAATACATTGACTGTGTCTTGATGCTGTTAAAATCACTGTACAATACAGAATACTGCACGGATTCAGAAACCTAAAAACTTGTTGAGGTGCCTGATGCAGCATCCAAAATGTTAATGATGATGGAACACCAGTGTCCATCTTAGTTGCCTGTCCCAATTGACTGCATCCTGGTTAGTTACCATGGCAGAAAATTAACACACATATTCCTTGAATTCAGTGGCAGGCAACAATTTTGTGCTGCCTTTGAATCTGAACATAGAATCTATTATGAACTCCCAGTTAAGCCTGCATTTTCCTGGTCTTCTGCTTCTGATAGATAGTTGATGAGTTATACCTTCTTTTAGATTATGCAAACATACAAGATAGACAATGCCCAGAATTAGAATGGCATGATTTAAACTGAGTTTGGAAAGCTTGGTCTACCAATGGAGTTTGGCAAGGTGTGATTGCATTTCTAGAGGTCTCTTCTGTATGTCATTCTATTCACAAGCTACTAAATCCTACCTGCCCTCTAAATTTAATATACACCAGAAGTGTGTCTTCTAAAATATGCCTTGGTGAAAAATATGACTTTCTTTGTCCATCCATTTATTGCAGTATAAAATGCAAATCTCTCTTGTTCTTTCCAAAGATATTGGCTGAGGAATGGTGACATTCCATAAGCAATCTTTGTTCTATTTTCTTGTAGTATTTTTTATTAAGTTGTCTTCTCTGCTCAAGCAATCATGCTATCCAACTATCTATAAATATCAAAGATAGATCACTAAAAATTCTGAAATTCTGTTATGAAAGGCATGAAAAGTTTAAATTCCATTGAGAGTCTGAATCTCCAAATATTACACCTTCAGTTAACAAAAAGGCCACTTCAACTTATGATGTGTTCTCATCCTCATATTTGTGAGTTAGAAAGACCTGCGCATGAACCTAAAAGTCCTGTAAACTAGAGGAAAGAGTATTTTTCTTATCTATTATTTCAAATTGAATGTGCAAGCTGCCAGTTATTTATGAAACAAAAAATGAAGAAATAAAATTATGAAATCATATACATATGGCTTAGCAAAAACTGAAATGTGCAAGCTGCCAATTATTTATCAAACAAAAAATGAAGAAATAAAATTATGAAATCATATACATATATGGCTTAGAAAAACTGAACAGAACCAAGGAAACAAAATTTTTCGGCTTTTCTCGTATACTTTCAGGCCCCCTTTGCTCTTCTAGTCCTCACAGATAAAGGCTTCTTGTCTATGTTTGGACGTGAGCTTAATTTCTCATCAGAATTTGCAGAGTGTGCGATTTTATACTCATAGTTTCCTTTTGTGGGATTTATCAAAGCATCGGCATGAGATTTCAGTGGAATCCACTTTGGAGATTGGTATGGAAGCTTATTTTCATCCTCATCTGAGGCATCTTCTTCATGAACTTCATTATACTGTCTGATGTGTTGGTTTTCATCTGCAAGCAAATTAGTATTTCTGTACAAGTTCAAGTCATGGTGCTCTGGTGATGTAATTCTCACTTGTTCCCTCTCAGCCTTATTGTGAACGAAATATGAAACCCTATCTTTACCTACTGGTTTATTGTGGGAGAGCGAATCTGAAAGTTGTTTTCTCTCATTCCACTTACTCCTGTTGGAATCTGAACTTGAATTAGATGGCGTCCTATCAAATCCAGGTTTTGTTTTGATCTCTTCAAATTCCTTTAGATGCACTCTTTCGTATTCTTTCATGTTTTCATCTTCTGATTCAGAACTGATATTGTCAATGGTATGGATTTCATTAAATACCAACCTATCATTTGATTGCTTGTTCTCCTTTGAAGCTTCATATCTGCTTTGAAGTTCAGGTGTCAATAACCCATCAGAATCATACAAAGTCCCTTGTCCATGACTAGAATCACCATAATCATCTTGTTCATTGTCATTAGAATCATATCTTGAGAGTTCAACAGCGGCTCTTGCAGCTTGTGCTGCATAAGCTGCTGATTCAAAAGCCTCTAGAGCTGCAGCAGCTACATCTTTGTACTTCCTTCCTTTCGATGATTCAGACAGCTCCTCGGGCAAAACGTGGGTTTTTCCTTGGGACACAGTAACATCTACCTTTGCTGATTTATAATCTTCCGCATGCTGCTCCTGCTGCTTTGGCTGGTGGACTTCCATTTTTTCCTGAAACCATCAATGATTGTTAAACCTCAAACTCTACATTCCATACCAAATTTTACTCATTTTGTAATGTACAAGTTTCATGCCTGTGCAACCTCAGGAGCATCTTCCTCCAAATGCAGGATAATACCATTCTCAGATGCAATGTCCTTTAGCAGTTTCTTTCTGCTTTCCAAGCTTGGTTGTCTTGTAGCAAACTTTTGTATAATCTAAAACAACAAAAGAAAAACAGAATTTTAAGGGGGGAAAAAAGGTTGTGAGAAAAATCTGCATCGCTTCAATCTGAAAAATATTCAGCTATTTACCTTGGGATTCACTCCGCAGTTACTGCGCAACTCAACAGCACGAGCAGCGATTTCTTTTCCAAATCTTGATACGAAAATCCCACGAATCTCTTGCAACTCAGGAAACTCACCACATCTTGAAGATGCAAAGATCAAGCTCGATATTGCTTCCTTGAGCTCATCAGGACACTCTCTACGCAAACAAAAGCAATCCATAGAAGTAATATGCATGATTTAGTAACAGAGCGGACGAAAACAACTTTTTCAAACCCTATATCACCAAGGCAAACACCGTGTAAAGTAAAATGAAGTTAAATTCAAGAAAACTAACTTGTTTGTTTCAAGTAGAACAACTCTATCTATCAGGAAATGTAAGTAATCCTCCATCATAACAAAAGCATCCACCATATTCTGATCCTTGATGACATGCTCAATCTGTCGAGCAAACTCCATCATATATCAAACACATATATATAAAGATAGAAAGACCAAAGAAGCAAAAAAGCAAAAGGGAATGTTATATATGAATTACCCGAAGGACAGCTCGTTCTTGCTGTCCAAGGTTAAGGAGCTGAATAACATCAGACTTTGCTTGGGAAAGCCTGACTTGTCTCTGGTTCTTGAGGATAGAAATCCTAGATACTGCTAGTTTTGCTAGAGTACTGAATTTAGAGGTCTTGAATTTCCTCCCGAAAAGAGCATCCAGTTTCTTTCCCATGTTTTGCAGCCTATAACTTGTTGCTAATGCTCTCAAGCTCCGTAAAAATCCTGAAGAAGCAAAAACCCTAGCTATTCAGGGTAGTTTAAGTACCTGAAGAAGTCATTGTAACCATAAAAACTGCTTAATATAAATTGCGACTAATTCGAGTTTGATGTGTCTGTCTGTGATGATGCTTCTATCACAGTCAGCTTCTAGGTTTACCGCGTATGCTACGATCATCTATTTATTACGTGTCACAGTATTATTGGAAGTGATTACTTAAACAGTAATTGTGAGGTAATTGTAGCCTTTCTCTAGTTGAGATCGGTACACTAGCTTTGAATTGGACAAAGCTTTTTGGGTCAGTTCTTGGCGGCTGCGGCTTCTTTTTGTCTAGAAGCAGAAATAATCAACAAAACTTGACACTATAATTTGAACAAAGACGTTTTATGTTTTTTTAATATTTTTATTTTTTCTTTCAAGAGGTAAACTATTGTTTTTTCGTGGGCCATGACCTATGACGATGTGAAGGTCGAAAAGGGCAAAGAAAAGTAATATACGACACTACAATATGATATATATTTTGGATTTTTTTTTTTTTAGGTCTTTAAAACTATTGGCACATTTTAAGCCGGTTAATGGTATAGAATATATAAAAAAAAAAATTAGTGTCACTATCATACGGTCATGCATGTTATATGAGTAAATTACAAATTAGTCTTTCTAGTTTTGACAAGGGAATTAACTAGTCCTTTTGTTCATTTTATACTCTTTTCTAATTTTTTTAAATAAAAAATAAATAGAAGATTGACAATAAAATAAAAATTAAATTAAATTAAAACATGTTCAATACTGTTTATAAGAATAAATAATTAGTTTTTGAAATAAAATAATTAATTTATTTATTTTTCAAAACGACAGGGATTAATTAATAATTTTCTTCATGCTATATTGTGCTACATGTCTTACACCGGTAAAATCACCTTTTTGCCTCTTGTGTTTGTGGCAATTGGTCATCTTACTTTCTATATTTAAAATTTGATCTATTGATGTCAAAATTATCGAAGTGTTGGTCAATTTGTGCCAATCAAATATGAAGGGACTAAACATAAAAACGGAATTGAATTTTTTTTCTTTTTTATAAACAATTTCCTTCTTCACGCATCGGTACTATTCACCACTAACTCACTATGATTCCAAACATCATTCAACCCAAGGAACCAAAACCACCCTTTAAACTTCCCAAACAACATTAATGACCATTAATTTTTTTGAAAAAAAAGCTCAATTCCATACCTTTTTTTTTTTTTTTTTTTTTTGAAGAGGCAGTTATTGATTAGAGCAAATTTACCAACATTTTATCAATTTTGATGTCATCTCCCCAGTATAAAACACATGGGGCAAGAGGAACAATTGCTACAAACATAGGGGCCGGGGCAAAAAAGTGATTTTGAAAACGTGCAACTCAAGGATTGAAAATGTGAAGTTGAAGAAGAGAATATTACTTGTTATTGTGTAAAGGATTGAAAATGTGAATCATGCCAGGACTTTTTCGCTAGGAAGTACCATGCAATATTACAGAATGCGTGACCAGAACCTAAAAATCAAAGTAGAATTAACTAGTAGTCTTGTGTCCGATATTCGAGACTAGCCTATCAAGAAGGTTTGAAATTTATGAACATGTATTGATCTTATTCAATGTGTTGCTGTCATGATAGTCCTGTTTTGAAGTTTTTGGATTAGCCGAAAAACAATAATAATTTGTGAAAGCAACATAAAATTGAAATGGCTAAGAACCTTCCAAATGAGATCGTACGTATTGAATAATTTAGCGAAGTTCTTGTCTTATCATCTCCCACTTGGGCTACTAGATTACCAAAGAGGGTTTGATATCTATATCATCTTATCACCTTGGAGATGACAGATATATCAAAACCCTCTTTAGTGAGCTAGGAGCCCAAGTGGGCTTCACTAATCCCAAGTTGTATTTGGTAGTTTGTCCTTCCTTTTCTTTCCTTTTCCCTTGTTTTATGAGTTCCCGGAAATAGGTCCAGCAATGAAAGCAAAATATGTGCAACATTTAATGTGTAGCGTAGTGGGCTTAGCAAGAAACTTTTGCAGGAACCAAATTTATCATAGGGGGTTCTACTTCGTGGTAGATTATGATGAGCTAGGTTCGTCAAAATAAAAGACAATCATTCCAATCAAATAGTATATAATTCAATTACAGTGGTTTTTTTCGCAATAAGAGATAATGGATTCAGATACTAATATATTAATGTTACTAATAGCTTTGGATAAATGAATTTAAAAAAAAAAAAAAAAAAAGACATGCATATTTGGCTTTGAGTTCGTAGAAGAGTAAAATGCAACAATCTTGAGGGGGAAAAAAAAAAAAAAAAAAAAGCAACATAACTACATGAATTTGTTGAACAACAATACTTTAGCATGCTGTTTGAAAGTCTGATGTGAAAGATAAAAGCAAAATTAAGAAAGATTTAACTCTGGGAAGAGAAGAAAATGGAACTCTTTGACACAAATATATGTTTGAAAAAGCAAACCCAACCCCAGTCACATGGAATTGGAAGGGCTGACTCATTGCATGTACCTACCAACTTGGCGGCAACATCATAAAGACAACTGCTCTATCGTTTGGTGCTTGCGTTGGGATGCCGCCGTGCATAATGGCCATGACTGGTTCCCATCATACAAATAAAGGGAAATATGCGCCAACATTGAAATAATGCGTTCAGACTGCTACTAAATACACAATATGGGAAACAAGGCAAATATTTTACAATTTTTGTTCAAATTAACTTGTAGCGCACTCTTAGTCTTCCCCAAACAATTATTTGTGGGTATGGCGTGCCAAATATTTCGTAAAACGTGTGCGCAATTCTGCAATACATTTTATTCTCATGGCTTTGCTCATGACTGAAGGTCCAAGGAAACTCAATTCGAGATTCTTGGAAACTACATCAAGTTTAGTTTGGTACGGCTGTTGATAATGAAACCAAAGTAGGTTCCGACTTTGGGAAGGTAAAGACTTCATCATAAACTCAAACTCGAAAAAATTGAGTTTTATTTTTTATTCTTTGTATACGTGGGGAAAAAAGGTGGTTAGGTTTTCCTAGCTTAATCAACACAATGATTCTGTAAATTTTAGTTCTCCATGGGTAGTTGAATATAGAGAACCCCAATTGAGTTTTGATCGTTTCTACAAATTTTAAATTATTTTGATTGAAATCATATATTATCTTTCGTATTAATTAAGTCCATTTATTATTTATTATATTTTATTTACATCCCTCCATTATAAAGATTTTAGTTCATGAGCTGGTGTGAAACGTTTATTTCTAAATGTGTGAATGGAAGGACTCAATTAAAATAATTTGAAATGTATAAGGATTCAATCAACACTATTCAAAAAGAATAGGGAGTAACTTATTGATTGTTCTTTTTTAATTTTCATGTTATTTTTATAAAAAAAACTTCATCTTGAATGCTACAAAATATGCCGTACATGGAATCTTATCCCAATAAAAATATAAAAAGTATTTTTTAAAAAATATTATAATAATTGAAAAATATATATAAAAATATAAACTGACATGCAGTTAAAACAAAAAAAAAAAATACAAAGATGTTTTTCAAAATTAAAATAAAATCAACAATAATGTTGATTAGTAGTTTATTATTTATATCAAATAAGAAAATGAGGTGCAATCTCTAGTTCCCCCCCCCCCCCCCAAGAAAGCAACTCTGTTTTTCACTATAAATATGTCAAATATTAGAAATTTCTTACTTTTTGTGGACGATTGGACCCATTAACTCAGAATCTATGGCTAATCAATATTACAAATCACTATATTTTTATTTTTAATAATTACATGCTAGGTTCGTTTTTTCTCCTTTTTACGTATTTTTTATTATTTTTTAACTTATTATAATAATTTTTCAAAAAAAAAAACACTTTATAGTTTTACTATAATTAGTTCTCACATATGACATATTTTGTGCATTTAGAATGAAGTTTTTTTAAAAAAATAAAAAATAAAAAACAATAACATAGAAATTAAACTGAAAAAACAATAATTTGGTCATGTTACTTTTTGAATTTTTCAATTATGTTAATTGAGTCGATGTTCCTTTTGAATTGATTTGATCTATTAGAGTGCTGGGTTGAGCACTTGTCATTTCTTCAAGAGTGAACATGTCACATTTCACAAACGAATGGCATTATGATGAAGGAATGAAAACAAAATAAAATAAAAAAAATTAAGGACTCAATTAGAAGGGAAAAAAAATAGAATTTCAATCAAAAACAATTTAAAAACTATAAAAGTCATATGGGCAAAACCCGTACTTAAAATGTTATAAATCCTAACGACATGTAGATCCATGAGTTTGAACTCATGTCATGTTCTCATGCTAGAAATAACCTAAACCATTATCATGAATGGTTATTTTAGACCATTTCCGGGCACTCATTTCAAACACCTATTTCATTTCATCAATAATTCGAGTACGACTAACTAGGAGTGATCATTCGATTAAACGGTTCAGTTTTGAATAATTCGATTCGGTTTTCGGTTAATCAAATTAAAGAAAACGAAAAGTAAAAACCGAACCAAAATAAATTCGGTTAATTCAATTTGAAACCGAATTATTTCGATTCGGTTTTGAAATAATTCAATTTTAACTGAAATTTAATTTGCTATAAAAAAAATTTAGACCAATCTGGAAAATTACACACTACAATACGCCAAGCCTTTGCTAAAACAAAATTCAAGAAAGAAAACAAAAACCAAAGATTTTTCCTGTTACACCAAAACCTCTTGAAAATAATGATGAAAATGGCCAATATGTGGAGGCTCAATCTCCCGATGTATATCCTTCGGTTCTCCTGAGTTCGAACATGTGAATTCCGTTGTTCTTCACGGATTTGATGACATTTTTATAACAAACTAGCCAAATATAATCCAGCCCACCACTATTTTGGCATTTTTCATTAAAACTAGATTGATTACGCTTGAGCTAGCTAACCCCATATTTAAATCATTCCTTCCTTTCTCATTCCCATTAAGACTTAAAATCTTAAATGTTTATCATTAGCTTTTACAATATTAAAAACCAAAACAAAATACAATCCATGAACTCAAATAAAAAATAGACATCATCAAAATATTAAAAACATATCAAAATACAATTCATTTGGCATAGATAGATTACATATACTTCCAAGTCTTGGCAAATGGCAATTGCATTCCCTATTAAAAAAAGAAAAATAAAAAGAAAAAGAAAAAGAAGCACATTAACTTAAATAATCTATCAAAATATTAAAAGTTTAAAAATTTATTATATCAAGCAAATTAAAATTAGAAACTTACTTATGCTTTCGAACTTTCTAGTAACATTGCTTGAACTAAATAACTTATGTAGCTACTTAAAAAATGAAAACAAGAACAGGCCAACAAGATTCCATTTCAGTGCTATCTCTTATCTAATGAACAAACTATGTTATTCTTAGTACTTCATTTATTATCATTATCCGATGTGTCAATGAAACAATGCAAAGTAGGGATATTCATGCCACTATTATTTACCGAGGAAGGATTCTTAGGAGTAGTATACGGATCAAATGAAAATTTAAGCGGGAAATATACAAAGAAGAGAACACAGGAAAAGGAAATTTATTAACATGATAGTATAAAGCAATATTGTTAGTTTTTTACACAAAAGAATGCAAATTAATTAGGAGTTCCTTTGGGAAGGCATTACCGTCACCGAAACTCGGTGCCATTCCTAATAGCACTGGAAAGAAAAATGCAATCTCTTAGTTATGTTCCTAACTCTAGAATAGAGACAACAACCTATATAAAAAATTTAGCATGAACTCGGATGCTATTACTATCCTAAAACCCAATGCCATTCACAATAGGCTGGAAAAAAAAAAAAAAAAAAAAGAAGATAGTCTTTGAGTTATGTTCCTAACTCTATAATAGAGCCAACCACCTATATCATAAATTTAGCATGAACTGGATGCTAAATTTAGCCAAATTCCAATGCTATATATAAAGTAATATACCAACAATACGATGCAAACATAGGTGTTTACAAGTTCACAACAAAAAATAGAAGATGCGATTTTCAAAGTCCCGACTCCCGAGACATACTTTAAACAAGTCTACTCCTTTTGCCTTTCTTAGAAGAAGCCTTTCCTCATCACTCAAGAATGCTACAAGTAGTTGTGAAGATCTAGACAACTCGATGACTTTTCAAGAATTACGAGTTCTATTAATGCATAGAAGTACGTTCACATGATGCATTTTAATTAGGTGACTTCTCATTTTTCTTTCGGGTATTGGTTGAACAAGGAACAAATTCAAGAACTCGTAATGCTTACTAGACCCCAAGTCCTTAATGCTCTTACCACTCCAATGATATGATGATGGAAAACATTTTTCACTTCCATATTTGTATTTAAAATCCCACTTGCCCGATGCACCGAGATCTAATGCTAAAAAAAAAAAAAATTACCCAATGCATCCGATGTTCAATGAACAACCGGTACCAAAATTTGTTTACCCAAACCATTTTACCTTATTGATAATCTATGCCGTTTTTCTTACACAAAAAATTAATTTAATTATTGTTATCGGTAAAAAAAAAAAAAAAAAGTAAAAGAGACCGACCTTAGGAGAGCTCGCAAGTAACGAAAAAGATGAATAGTAGGCTGAGACCATTAAGTAGGAGGAGGAGGGTGGTGAGTGCGATGCTAGGCTCAAGGCATAGGCCATTAAGGCCTATGCCTAAGGCCCCCATAGAAAGGGGGATCCCAATTAAAATTTTACCCTAAACCTACACCCGTGCGGAATGAGATAAATTAGAAGATGCGGTCTCCACCTAAGTATGAGACATCATTCTTCTCTTTAGTAACGAGTCATAGGTACTAGAGTTCTTGCATTGAAAGGCTCCCATTGTTCGGAGATATTATTATTTCAACGTTAAAAATTCTACCTTTTCTAGATGTCTTTTCAATTACCTTCTACCTATAAAAGCTTTCAATTTTTATTTTGGTGAGACACTTTTACTTGCGGAAAAGTTTCAAAAAAATATTTGTGAGTGAAACAATTTTTAGATCTCCAAATTTTGTTATTATATTCCTTTCCTTCTCCAAACAATCAATGATATCTTATAAAACCTTTTCTAATTAGCTTGGCGGAATAATCGAAGGTAATTTTTTAATTTATGCAAATAAAATTATGTATATAGATCATATAATATTTTATTTTTTTCTCAAATTTCTTTTTATTTTCTCGGGTGATTCTCTCCGGGTTTACTTGATTAGGTGTGGCAAGCAAATATAATCGGGTATCAAAGTTTCTTACTCTTTTTATAATTATATTTTAATTTTATTATTTGAATAAAATATCTATTAGAAAGTATGAATATGGATATGAAAAATGTAAAAAAAAAAAAGAAAGGTAGAAGAACTAATTCAATCCCAAAAAGGTACACTTGATAGATTTGTTACTACTATTAAACCCTAAATACTAGAAGAACAAGATAAAGATTTAAATGAAAATATAGTTGAAAATTGTCAAGAAAAATATTATTTTGCCTAGGGTCACATATATTATAAAGCCGACCACAGGTGGGTGGTGATTGATGAGTGATGACCGATGACCATAAGTTCGAAGGAAGTAACAAAGAGTCGGGTTGTGAGGGGTGAGCAAACAGTGGGTGGTGATTGGTGAGATTGAAATTTGGAGGAGAACTGGAGCCTGGAGGAGGATTAAAGAGTGGAGAAGCAAGAAATGAAGTCGAAGGAGGTTAAGGAAGACGAAGGAGAATTGGGTGTGTGATCGCACGTTTCGGCGAAGAATAAGGATCGAAGAACCGAACTATTGAAGTTAGCTAGTTAGCGATTTAGAATTAGATTAGGATTTTTTTTTCTATTTATTTCGATTTTTGGTCGAAATCGAAATTTTTTCAAAAACCGAACCGAATCAAAATAATTTCGAGTTTTTCGATTCGATTTTAAATTGTACAATTTTTAAATTCAAAATCGAACCAAATTTCATAATTCGATTCGATTTTATTTGGTTTTCAATTAACCGAATCGTTTGCTCGCTCCCGGTGCTAACAACCTTTTACCCTTTGTTAAATTAGAGAAATGGCTAGCGTATTCTTATATGTCAAAAGTTTTGTCCAATGTATTTTTAAATATTTAATTGCATCTAATCTATTTTTGAAAAAGTTATTATATTCAATCTATATTTTTGTTAGATTTTCGCAATCAAGTTCAAATTTTATACATTTAAAATAACCCTCATTAAAAAATGTTTTCAAAAAAACGAAATTCTAGAATTTTTTTTTTTTTTTTTCATAACTTGCTACATTTGAAATAACTTACACACTCAACTTATCAAAACTGAGTATTAAATATCAGTTTACGGAACCCAAATTAATATCCAAAATCTTCTTTTTTTACTAGTTATCTCTTGATGAAGGGTATTTTGAACATACAAAATCTAAATTTGATCATCCGCAAGATCTATTTTCATTAGTTTCGATGGTGAAAATGTAATAGAATGATAGATTAAAGACACAATAATTTTTTAAAAAAAATAGATTAGATGTAATTAAATATATAAAAAATAAATTGAATACAGCCCTTAAAATCTAAGTACATATAAAGCCATCTCATCTTCTTAAACTATCAGGCAAGAAGTCCAAATATAACCATAATTGGACGAAAGACTCAGTTGTACTGGACCAACATGACATCATGTCATCCCTTAAAAGTGTGAATTAAGGATGACAATTGTACCACCTTCATTTACTCGAATGGAGACAGATATATATAGACTTTTGTTCTCATGCAGACGTCGGTAAAAGTGGATAAAAATACCTAATTTATTCAAGTACGAAATGCAACAATAACATCCTTCCGTCAATCTGATAGACCACTCATATATATATATATATATATAACCTCGATTAAATATATGTAATACTTAAAGAATATTTTTATTAATGAATTATGTACTCCACTAAATAGAAATTAAAAAAAAAACCATCATGTGTGCATCGCCTTACATGTAGGTGGATATCGAAGATTAAACAATGCCTCTAATAGAAATGGAAGCAGGTATGGATGTCAGGAGATCATGGAACTCCATCGCCTTATCGACACCTATGTCAATCCTCTTCAGTGTTAACTTCACGCAGGAGAAATTTGTACACAGTGAACCATGTCTTGCAGCAAATAACAGATTTCTAAGCAGCATCAAAGGCTACAAAGAGTATTATAAAAAGCCATGATTGCCCCTACAAGCCTTGTTGCCCAGTAGCTGGATGCTTCTGTGGTTCTGGAACAAGAGATCCAGGATTGTAAGGGGAAAAGGAAAAGGAAAACCATAATTCCCATATTCAAACACAATTATGTATTATGATAACTAAATCTTCAAAACAACGAAAGCAGAAAGTGCTATGTTTGTCCATGGATAAAATGGGGACATGAACATTTTGACAGTCTCTGCTCACGAAATTCCACAAGGTAAAACAGTTTGGCATGAGACACAACTAGACATGAGGAACACTTGTTTCATTCGTCGAACTCATGCATGTGATCTAATAGATAGTTGGCCGCCAGTTCTTCATTCTTGTTGCATGCAAAGAACACCTCCAATACTATGGCTCGATCAAAGCCCATTCCTTCAAGCTGCCAAATTGACATTGTCAATGTAGACCGATGCGAAGATAGATTAAAACATAGGAAATTAGAGATGTATTTAAGGACTTCAGGTTTTCTACATGTGTGCCCTTGAGCATCAAAAGCAAGAGGAAGGAGATTATGATCTGATTAAATGCACAATTATAAATGCATGAAGACATCACGTAACCATGAATGTGAATTTTCAGAGATGCATGCAATAAACAATTCTGATTTCAATGCATGAGGCATGTAGCATTGACCACCTGGCACCTAAGGAAAAAATATCAAATTAAGTTCAGCAGATGCAATCCCTGCAATACTTTCCAAGGCAAGTATGAAAAATGTAAGCGGCAGAGAAAACTTCAAAACTGTGACTCCACTGCAAATTTTAAGGAAGTGACAAACAAAACACAGCACCAATAATAAAGAAATATATTTTGCATCGAGTGATGAACTTACACGTTCAATTGCCTCACGCTCCTCAGGGGTGACAGTCACCGCTTGTGGCATTGCAGAGGCCAATTGGCCCAGCACGTTCCTGATTAAGTAAAAGCAATTTAGTATCACAAGCAGGGAGTTCTGTGTATATATCATTCTAAAAACAGATTCATCTCACCCCTCTCCTTCAACAGGTTCGTTTATCAAGCGCAAGAAATCAGCCTGATGCTCTTGAATAAGACGCATCAGGTGTGGATTTTGCTTCCCTAGCTCCTGGAGCATAGGCTGCATGCATGAAAAGTCATCAATCATCTGTAGGTTAGCAACTAAAAGTAATGCAACAAGGAGAAACAAAAACAGATGAATTAAAATCCTACTAGGTACCTGCAGGATTTGAGGGTTTGCTTGCACCATAGCTCGCAAGGCTTGGAACTGAAATTAAGAAGAGGTGTTGCATAAGAAACTTCAACCAATTAATGAACATTACACTGACCCACAAAATAAATATTAAATACCTGTTGGCTATTGCGTAAGAAATCCAAGTTGCCTGCACTAGCGTTAGAACCAGTACTGGGAAGGCCCTGGTTCCATGAGAATCATATTCATCAATTGACCCAGCCTAATGAGGCTTAGAAACAACAGATTGAAGAAATACATGCCTGTGGAAAAAGATCTAGCGGATTTGCATTTGGTCCGCCGCTAGGAGGTGCAGCTAGTTGCGGAGCCTGAGCTGGAGGATTTACAGCGTCAACATTTGCTGGACCTTGGTCAACTTGTGGAACTTCAGCTTGCTCTGGAATACCCTGATATAGTAATCCAAATACTAAAATGACTACCACCATAATAATAGATAAACAAATGCAACAAGTAGTAAAATACACCTGCAGCCAAATAAAATCTCACCAAAAAGAAATAATATATGAACCAAAAATTACAAAAAAACAAATAAAGTGTTTATCTCATTATGATTAATTTGCATCCAGAATGTTGATGCTCTTATTTAAACAAGAACTTAAGCCATATACAAATAGATGTAACAATGGCTTCTCATGAATGTTTTCATTTTTGCAAAGGGGGGATTGTTGCCAAAGTCTAGGTCTTGGGTTGGGCAATATATTGTCATTCAGGCTCAACATTTCGCAACATAATGCTATTAAGGTTCAACAGTATTATCAAGAAAGACAGTTAGAAGACAAACAGGGGAAACAGAACAGCTCAAGATGAACCAATAATGTTAAAGATCAAATAATATATACCAACATTTATCAGTGTAGAAGTTTTGAGAAGAAAAAGATGAATGCAAATGAGCATAACCTAGATCAAGTCACCAGGTTACAAAATTATGGAACCACAATTGTTCAATGACTTACCGAGTATAGATATTCAACAGCTCGTTCAGGGTTGTTGAATGCAGCACGTAGAGCACGAACAACAGTTTCTCGGTCCCAACTTCCTCCACCGATATCGAGAATCTGTTGAATGGTTGCTTCTAAATTATTTCCTGCAACGAGATTTGATGCCGCTTGCCCATACACGTCTGTATCTGAACTGCTTCAATGACAAAAAAAAAATGTAGCCAAATCCATAAATATATATAGTAGCAGAATCTCTGATTCTAAGTGCTTCAATGACAAGAAAAGAAAAATATTATATAACAATGGGAATGCATTAAGTGTTCAAACTGTTACGAATCATGTGTTTTATAACCATAATGCCTACTTAAGCTCCGTTATTCAAGATGCATTTGCCTTTTGCTGCTGTAGAGTAAGAAGCTCAAATGTAAGGCATTTGGTTATATAAAAATGTCCACAGGAGCTGGCGGATAGAGCTCAAACGGAGCAGCTTTTCAAAAGCTACAATTTCAAGCTTTTACACCATTTTCATGAAGAGAATGTTGGCTGTATTGCAATCCCATGTGTAAAGACTACAGTGTCCCTAGTTTTTTGTTCAAAATTCAACTTAAAACTATTATGAACAAGCCTTGATGGAGCACCTATCCAACATGACTGTTGTTCTCATTTTTGCTTTGTGTTTTTAATCAGTTATGTTCCAATATCAAAACTTCCATTGTAATGTATTTTTATTCTAACTATGATAACACTTTATAGTAATAATATTTCATGAAAAATAGTAAATTAAAAAAAATATTAATTAAATTTAACTGCTATTTAATATCTTGTTAAGTTTCACTTCAAAACACGTTTTATTAATAAAATAAAAATTGAAAACAACATGTCCTTTTCCTTCATTCAATTGATAACAACACAACCAATTGCACATGCTAACCAAACGCTATATTATTTAATGATTTATTATCGTTGGCTAGTAACTGGAGCATGACACACCAATAATTTGATTACTAGCTCTTTTAAGAGCATAGAATTTGTATATTTTATTGGTTGTTTATTAAGAATCCTCAAAAATCCCTATTTGTTAGAAATGTGTTAAAACTCTAAATAAAACACTTCCATGACACACAGTAGGAAGGAAAAGGTTGAATAATAAACAAAAGAATGTATCTTTTTCTTGTTGCTGGTCTTTTTTTTAATTATTATTATTATTACTAACCTTTTCTCTTTTTCAAATAATAAAAATATAAAAAATAAAATTCATGTGCATGGCATATGACATAAAAGCTGGGAAAAGAAAAAAGGAAACAATCAAATTCAAACTCAAGATGAGTAGATAAAGATAATCTAGTGAATCAAATTAAGAAAGCTGTAGATCATGAAACTTATGTTCTTGATATTCATGGTATCACGCTCCTTAACAGTGATGGTAAAGAAGATTGGTTAAAAACTAGTACAAGAAAATACTCACAGAGCTGAAGTAACTACAGCAGGATTGGATTCAGCAGCAGATTGCGGCCTGCAAGATTCACAACTTTGGAACAAAAAAGACCAGAAAATACAAACCCAAGCAATAGCAGAAAATGAAAAGATATTCTGCCATTTGAAAAAAAAAAAACAAAAACAAAAACAAAAACAAAAAAACAAACAAACAAAACAAAACAAAACAAAACAGAGAAGAATAGAAAAAAGTTTATAAATTCAAAACCCACAATGCTGCAGCTGGCACAGGAGCTTGAGATGTTATTGATGGTTGTGTCACATTGGAAGGCAAGGAACTTGCAGGTTGGGCCTGTGCAGCAAGCAGTTGCATTAGTTGCCTCAGATGCAACTTAACAGCACACTTTGGATCATATTGCTAACAGAGCATCTTTAATTGCTGCTTGTTAGGAAAATAATGAAAAAAATGAAAGAAGGATGCAAAATGTTTAGGATCTGCAAAATTAACTACAAAAAGTTATCCTCTTAATCAGAAGATATATAATAAATGGGTGTTTGTTAAACTAATAAGGAAAATGCATGTATAATGAAAACATGTTGGCAGGTGTTTTTTTTTTTTTTGGAAAACCATCTGGAAGATCAAAGTCACATTTAGAGTGTCCTTTGCTTAACAGTGCTGGGGGTAAGACTTCAACTATCAATAAAATTCAATAAAAGGGAATAGTGTGGGTAACTCAGTGCTATCTTTGCAAGGAAGACGGTGAATCTTTTACTTGTTGACATCATTCATAGTGTAGAGCTTTATGTAATTAGCATACAGGATTGTGGTTGTCGCTTGGATCATGTCAGGCATAGTGAAAGAGGAGCTGAATGTTTAAACCAGGAAGAAAGGGCAATTTTGCAGAGGCAAGAGAGACCTCTGGGGTCAGTATTCCATCAGCGGAAGTGAATGCAATAAAAGAGCATTTGACAGGGAAGAATTACATTGGGAAACTATACTTTCAGCATAAGGAAAATACTTTTCAAGCTGTAGATGATGCAATACTATACAGTGTGTAGATTCTTTATTCTGCATGTATTTTCTGTTCCCATTAAATGGGTGGCACCATCTTGGTGCCTTTTAATAGAAGGCAAAGCCTTTTAAGAAAACTCTTGATTGCAAAACTATTCAAATCCTCACAAATCCACAAATCACAAGGAGACTGAGTAAAGTGAAGCTAACACTAAAAACCCAGCACTTATTATTTAAGCATTCGTAAAACATAGCTATTTCATGAAAATATTGTTATCCTGAAATCTTTAATTTCTGTTTTGCTCAAATTTTGATCTTGCACTAGAACTCCATAGATTTTACAACGAGGCTGAAGCAAATTTCCTAGTAAAAGTATCCATACATCATGGGGAGAGATCAAAGCCATCCCCACCTCCAGAAAGATACAAAAGCCCTAGAAGTACAACCTGTTAAAGCATCAGTAGTTACTTTTAAATGAATCCAATCTATCCCTTAAAAAGTAGGTTAATAAAGCAAAAATCAGAAAACCACTAATGTCTGCATGAACCATAATTAATCATACACGCCAAAGTATCTCATCCTAAAATTTAATAAAGGAATGCATCTTTGCATTCTGCAACCAAAGGTATAAATGTAGAGACCATTTTATACTTACTTGGCTTGGGGGTGCAGCTGGTGCAACTGGTGCAGCTGGTGCAGTTGAGGGTCCGCCTGATGAAACCTTACTCTACACAAGTTTGAGCATATGCATAAATCAGTGAGCATAATTTATATAATTTCTTGCATCACACTAAACGATAGTGAAACAATGTTTTTCAATTTACCAATCAGACAGCAGGACTAAAATAAATTACATCAGACTTAACATAGAAAATGTACCATCACTTTCCATACAAATATACATAGAATTCCATTCTTATAAGCATGGTTGTTAGAATCTTACGATTCACGATTTGAATCTTATGATTCATCTCGATTCACGTACAAAACGATGCGAATTGTGGGGCAAATCGCAGATGCATGTGAATCTTGCGATTCAGTCATGATTTGATTTGATTCAGAATGATTCAGTGAATTTTACAAGACAACTCAAATAGAAAATGAAAGTAAAATTCATAATTGTAAAAGAGATGGTAAGAATATGAATGTTGAGTCTAGAGGTCATATATGGCAACAATGTATAAGCAAATTTTCTTTGACAAATATTTATATTTTAAACTGAAACGAATTATGAATTATATTTTTGCAAAAAAAGACAAGGGTGGTTATTACCTTTTGTTAAAGATGGAAGGTTTAGTAGTTTAACTAGTTAGAAGATAGCTTTTAGATATTTTATAAGTTATTGAATCTTTAGGATTATCGAGTACCGATGAAAAATATGTTGAATTTTGGGACTTTGGGATCATTTGATGACTAAGGACTAATAAATTAAATGAATTGATGCACGTTTTGTTTAGTAAATGGTCATTTTTCCTTTATATTAATTTAGTATGTTATTTATGTTCTGTGATACCAGTTTCCATTTGTTACTGAACCTTACAATTCGCAATTCAATACGATCAAAAATTCCAAAAAACCGACTAACAAGTGATCTCAATTTGACAACCATGCTTATGAGCTATAAAATTTTCAAACATCACTATAGAATTCTTATACACCATTAAATAAGTTCAGAAAATACATCTGCTGCAGGAAGCAGCAAAGCCACAGCATAATTTATAAGAAATGCAAAGCTGGGTAAATGAATATCAGCATTACAACAATGGTTATTTTCAACGAAAAGACTGAGGAACCCAACCCTTGAGGTACAATAATATATCCTTAACACATGAGCTACAAGAATATACCAACAAAATATGTATACATATTTCTTCTAAGCAATAAACTAAAAAATATGTATACATCACGAAAAAATCCCTGCCAGCACCTCTCTTACTACTTTTATTTCCATGCAAAATGAGAGATAAGGAAATTCCACTCCCCAACAGACCTAACCACATCTAGAGTCAGTTCGGGAAACTTTTGCCATCTTCACATGGCAAACACAGAGAATGAAATAAACAAGCAATAGGAGTTATTTTGTACACATATCAAATTTCCCTAAGGGTAGTTATTGAACATTACTGAACTTCCAAAACAAGAACTAAAGTAACTGTTGGATTTATCCCGTTGTGCTTATTCAAAATTGGCGGCATTTCCTTCCACTTAAAAGACTTTCCTTTCATCACTAAAATGAGCAACGAAACCGAAAACACTCACCTTGCTTAACATAACAACAATAAAACTACTTTCAGCAACTTTATTTTCATCCAATGTTGTATCATCCTTAAGAACTTTCCCTTGATAAATTAGCATCTGTTGCGCCGCTGGATAAACATCAGCTCCCTGTGCACTCTCTATGTTTTTCTTCACATCAACCACCTAAATTAAATTAAATAAAAAAAACCGAACGAATAAATAAATAAATAACCAGCAGCATCGTTTTTATTGAACTAAACAACTAAAATAAAATTTGAAAGGGGAAAAAAACGCGTAAAAGCCTAAATAACCTAGAAAAAGAAATCAAAAGAATACACTAAATTGCAAATAATTACGAAAATTAAACTCTGCAAATGCCAATTATAGTTTTAATCAGTGTAATTAGCGTGAGAATCCAAGAATTTAAGCGAAAAGATAGAGCTGAATTACCGTATCTTCAGGTTTAACTTCGATCTCGAAATTAGTACCCTTCAAAGTCTTTACAAAAACCTTCATTATCTTGAATCCGAATAATCGTCAATTTTTCTCCGGCGGGTGAGCACTGATATCCGGTTGCCGCCGGCGAGAGAGAAAAGAGTAGAGGAAGGGACAAGGTACGAGTCAGTGAGAAATTAAAAATGGGTGCTTGGTTTTGTTGGATGTTAGGTGGTGGGAGGAGAGTACACAATTGAGTAACGGCTAAGTGGTGTGAAGCCCAATTATTTGACAACACGTGTCGAGAGGGAGGAATTTGTGCAACGTGTGGTATTTTTATTGGGTGGGTTGGAGTTTTAGGGGAAAAAAAGGTTTGTCCACGTAAGCAGGGAGAGTATATAGGGAAAGATAATCTAAGTTCGGTAGATTTTTCCGATTTTGTGTGTCTTGAAAATTGAGGAGCTTTCTTCTATAACTTTAAAAAAGTCAAGGCAATAAGATGGATTTGGATTTTTGTGAAAAATTAGCGATTACTTAGTTGGCGTGCTTTTCTTTTCGAGAGTTTTTTCTCATACTAATACATTTTTAAATTTTTATTTCTTAACTAGGATATTTTTAAACTTATTTCTCAAATAAAAGCTTTTGTTGCCACATAAGATTTTTTTTCATCCACGTCATTTTTTTCTTAATTGTTGAAAAATAATATCATTATATTAAATAACTTTATTTTTATTTTAGGTATTTCTTTAATTGAAAAACATAAAATTACTAAGACCTCTCTTCTTAAAAGGAAAAAAATAAAAAAAATGTTAATCTTTTTAGGTTTAGTAGCTACCGTCGACCGGACGATATCATCACAAATCTTTAAACACTTTTTTGTATGTTTAGTCTTTGCACATCAGATGATCAATTAAAAAACTACATACTTTATGAATTAAAGCTTCTCTTCATAGAAAAGGAGTGAAGATTGAAGGGTCTCAATTTGATCATTATGGAAAAAGGCACGCAACAACTGATCTTTTACAGAGAGGGAACACAAAAATCTCTTTAGATGCTGATTTTAGCAAATCCTAAAAGCTATGCATGTAAATACAAAAACTTCATTGATGTCTCGTCAATATTGCTTGGACAATCAATCTCTTGATGCTAGTAATTAGTTCTATTTAAATAATACAATTAAAAGAAACGAAAGCATAGTTCATGGTATTTGGTTCATCAAGAGTGCTAGTAGCATATATCAATTAAAATTATGAAGCTTGCCTCAACAAGCCTATGAATTCCGCTCAACAAGGCGACGTTATTTTGTCAGAAAAAGCATCAGGTTGTCCTTAAATCCTAATGTTAAGCGAAGTCTAAAAAGTCATCTTAAGAACTTTGGTATCCCGCTTGTGTTAGACTTGGAAGCTTTTGGACAGGAAATGCAAGGTAATCGACACACAGACATAAGCATGAACAATGTATCTTTTGAATATTCCACAAAGTCGCGAGCATTCAAATTAATATTCAAGGGAGCAATCATACCAAGTAGCTTCAATGCATGAACTATGGTAATCGCAAGCAAGATTGCAGTCCCAAAATCAAAAGGAAAACTAAAATTGAACAATACAGACCCTAGGCAAAACCCTTGAGTGGAATTCAATTATCTAGGAAAGGAAAGCGAATTGGCAGAATGTATCGAGATGGCTCCATTGCTTGAGAAAATAGCAAGGTCGAAGTTCATCACTCAGTTCACCGGGGTTGAACCCCAAAATTATTCAACGTCCAGTCCTTATGGGTTAAGAAAGTTCTACAAAAAGAATGTGAACACCTTTACCACAATCATGGTTGCAATGTTGTGTTAGTTGTTGACAAAGATTACAAAGATTACAAAGCTTATGGGATAAAAGGATTGAGATTCATATATGGCTCAAAATTTTTGGAATCACCAGGTACAAACCCAGCTGCTACTGTCTTAATTTTGGGACGATATCATCTAGCCAGCGGCTGCTCCAAAACCTAAAAAGATTAACATTTTTTTTTTAAAGAAAGGTCTTAGTAATTTTATGTTTTTTAATTAATGAAATACCTAAATAAAAATGAAGTTATCTAATATAATGATATTACTTTTCAACAATTAAAAAAAAATGATGTGGATGAAAAAAAATCTTATGTGGCAAAAAAAGCCTTTATTTAATAAATAAGTTTAAAAGTACCCTAGTTAAGGAATAAAAATTTAAAAGTGTACTGATTTAGGAAAAAACTCTCTTTTCAAGATAATGTCAATCTTACTAATGCTAATCCAAGAGAGTTTATTAGATGATTAAAAAAGTTTGTTTCCTTTTTTTATTTGATTTTATTAGATAATTAAAGAAGTTTATTTCCTTTTTTGATTTGTTGAGTTCAAACTTTGAGACAGTAGGAGACAAAATTTATCTAAAAAGGCCAAATTTTTCTTGAACTTTATTTTATTTGAAAATCAATTTTTAAAATTTTAATTTCTATTTTAATCCCTCTAAATTTTGTTTTATTTTTAAAAAAAATTAGTCTATTTTATGATATTTAACTATAACTCCTCTTCTAAAAAAATTCGTATTTTGTTATGAAGTTTTGCATAAATGTTGAAAAGAATTCAATTCATTTAAAAAAAAATTCTAAAAATTTTCAAACCAAGAATTATATTTGTTTATTTTTTCAACATTAAATATATATAATTAGAAAAAGTAAAAAATAAAGGAAACAGAAAATATCTATTCTAGTTCTATCATTTACTATGGGTTTGAATCTAAAAGAAATTCTAGAGAATGTGTGCTATCCCAAGATTTTTTTGTCTTTCCTAAACAATAAGGAAAAAAAATGAGTCAAAGTAAAATTTCATTTTGGAGTTTTATCAATAATTCACTTGTGTAGGCGAAAGTCCAGTATTTTCCGAATCCCGATGTAAGGAATTACAAAAGAAATTTTTTCAACAAATATGTTAATTAGGAAGGATTTGGTAGCTAAGTATGAACCAAAGATTAAATCTTGATATACCTCGTAGCAATACAATCTCAAATATTTTAGAGAGCTTCAAATAAATTTCATTGAACCATTTCCATTGTGGGGCTATTTATGTAATTGTTATTTTTTTAATAAATAACCAAAAACTAAAAGATGGATTTAATCTAAAAAAAATAAAGTTAAAAGAAGTTAAAACATAAATTAAAAGTTCAATTAATCATTTTTAAATAAACTAAAGTTCAAGAGAGGTTTGTCCTTTTAGCATTTCTATAAATGAACTAAGTCAATATGGAAGGTATATCATTAAAATCATTCAAGGAATGACTTATTTTTAATTGACGTGCAAGTTAGTCCAATGATGTCTTTAGTATCATATCAAAAAAATAAAAATCTTATTATGCTCATTTTGTTTCATGTAAAATAACCTGTTTTTGAAAAAATAACATATTGTTTGGTTATGTTAAGAAAAACTATTTGAAAATAATTATTTGGAGTTTAATATGTATAAAAATAAAAAATTAGGGTTAGAAAGGACAAAACAATAATCCATGATCTAACAGCAAAGGTAGTTTTCTAAAATATTTTTTATATTTTTAGAAATTTAAGTTGTTTTTCCAATTGTTTTAAACTTATTTTTGCTTTTATTGTAAAATAATTTTAATTTATCCAATTTTCATTGGCGAGCCAAGTATAGAAAAATAAGAAAACATTATACGAAAGTATATTTTAGGTGAAAACAAACATTGCTCACATATTCTTTCTTAATTCACTTTTCTAAATAATCATATGCATTCAATAAATGAGATCTAATTAAGGAATCCTATAAATCCAACGATTTTGATAAACATTGTTTTTCCTTTTTTTTTTTTATTAATCAATTAAGAATGCATAAGTTTTTGGAAAAGATTCCAAGCGTTAAAACATGAAATTTTCATTTAAAGACATTAGAATAGATGAGGTAAGGGTTTAAAAACCGGAGAAAGCTTTTCCTATTACATGGTCTGTAAAATAACTTTTTTTAAAAAAAAAAACATATTGTTTGGTTGTGTTAGGAAAACCTACTTGAAAATAATTATTTGGAGTTTCATGTGCATAAAAATAAAAAATTAGTGTTAGAAAAGAAAAGACATGAATTAATAAGTGGCAGAGTCCGTGATCTAACAACAAAGATATTCTCATAAAATATTTTCTATATTTTTAGAGACGTAAGTTGTTTTCCAATTGTTTTAAACTTATTTTTACTTTGATTATAAAATAAATTTTTTTATCAAGTTTTATAGACAAGCCAGATATAGAAAAGTGAGAAAAACATTGTATCGAAAGTATATTTTAAGCGAAAAAAAAAATTGCTCACATATTCTTTCTACATTAACTTTTCCAAATAATCACATGCATTGAATAAATGAGATCTAATTAAGGAATCCTATAAATCCAACGATCTTGATAAACATTGTTCTTCTTTTGTTATTGATTAATTAAGAATGCATGCGTTTTTGGAAAAGGTTCCAATTGTTAAAACTTTAAATTTTCATTTAAAGACATTAGAATAGGTGTGGTAGGGGTTTAAGAACAGGAAAAGCTTTTCCTATTGTATGGTCTACATTGTATTAAGGCTTATTATACCATAAAATCATGAATTTAACATATTTTAATAATTTTGGAACATTCTTTTAAAAATGAATGAAAAATACATAAACTATGATTCCAATAACTATATAATGAATGAAAAATATATAAACTATGATTCCAATAACTATAGTAACATGTGAGAATTTTTTCGGACAAAATTTCATTTTCAACTTTCAATAATCGTAGGTGGCTTTTAATACATGCTTGTCATTTTATCTATCTCACCACATCGGCTAAAAATAGAATTTTGTTTGGAAAAAAATTTGCTTTCTACTATGGTTATCAAAAGTTTAATTCATTTATTTTCTATCAATTTTTAAAAGAACGTCCCAAAATAATTAAAACATGTTAAGCTATAATTTTATGTTAAATTTATGATTTTATGGTACAATAAACATTATATTAAACAAATTTAAAACAATTGAAAGGATTTTGAGAAGAGTTGATCCAATATTAAGACCATTTATGAGTTTTTTTTTCTTTTCAATATCTCAATATTATATGCAAATGTACATTTATGTTATTCTAATATATAGAGAAGTTTCATTAGATCCTAGTAGGAACCATTACACATGCGGCTATGTCCATGTGTGTATTCCATAAAATTTATTATAAAATACTCATGGTTTTTTTTAATTTTAGTAGTCGTTGTGTCTTGCATTATGAGGATCTATCTTTATCTTAGAAGTGTTTTTGCTTTGAAAACTATAGAGATTTTCATACACAACTTAAAACATTTTATTCATTTTTGCAAAGTATGTGTATGTAACTTATAACATTGCATGATATTAGCTTGATACTAAAAAAAAAATTGTGAAGTGAATCATTAACCAAAAAAATTGTATAATTTTTAAGGATGAATAATTTTGAATAAATGAATATGTCATTTCAAAAGCCTACATAGGCCACCAATATAGACTTTCCACAAGTAAGAAAATTATTATTAGAAACTATATGATGTCGACCTAGCCGTCTACAAATGTATTACAAGGTGGTCTAATTTCGATTATCCTTTTTTCTTGTAAATTTAATTTGACTATAACCATCTTTTGTATCATAATATATATAATCTGTATATGTGCTCATTAATATAATATTTTATTTGATGATTTGTGTTTATTGATGTAATTAATGATATCTATATTGTTTTTAGTGTGTGGGTCTCTATAAGAAAAATGGTATTAGGTCCAGTACCAGTAAAAAAAAATTATTCATATATAATACAAAGGACTCCTAACTTATGAACTTCTCTATACCTATTTATAATTTAATTTTTTATTTATATTTAAATTTTTTTATTCTACTTATCCAACCCAAGTATATAAATATGGTCAACTTGATTAACTATTTGTATAATTTTTTATCAATTGAAAAATTTGCATTATTATAAATAAAAAGAGAACCATTTTTTTTTAAAGTATATATAAAATATTATATACACTTGATGCATCGTCATTTGAAAATTTTTAACTATACTCAACTTAAAAAAAAATAATAATAATACCATAAATTATATACATGAATTAATATTTTTATTTTTAAAATTATGTAGTTGAAAAATAATAAGAGTATAAATGAAACAGAATTTTGCTTATGTAAAATGAATTTTTAAACAACTTAAGAGACCTTAAAATGAATTGATATGATATGAGAGCTTTTGTACATCCTAAATGAAAGTTTGTTCTACATATTGCGCTAAATTTTTATTCAAAGTTTTTTCATTGAAAAAATTATCTTTAATTCCTCTTCCTTTGTTTAAATAATTGATATCCACGTTGAATTTTATGATATATGACTTTAGCATGTTGATTACTTTTTTTGACTTTCTAATAATTCCACAGTCCAAGATAGCAAAGATTTTGCTTTTCTTTTACATATAAAGAAAGATAAATAGAAGATAGATAAGGCAAATAGATGGATAGATAATGACGATGATGGCCTATATAGAGATAATGGATGGATGGATGGGTGGATATTAATACATTAAAATAATTAAAAAATTTATTTTCCTAAAATCAAATTATATTGTTGTTTCTACTGTATAAAAAGGAACATGATTAAATAATAAACAAATTAAACAATAAATAGATAAATAACTTTATTGTACAATTAAGATGAATAAAAAAATAGAATTTTTTACCTTGATCATTAAAAAAATTAGAAGCTAAAACCATATTATCATGTTTTATGATATAAAGATGACCGAACTATCAAAATTCTTTTATCAAAATTTTTAGATGATTGTCTTGAGACACAATGAGGTTGTTTTTTAAGATGATACGTGTCATCCGCAACGAGATCAAATTTATGTTGCAAGTCATCTCAAGAATGCAACAAACTCAATCGGTTCTTATATCTTACAAGTTTGCACTAATTGTAAGATTTGAAACTCAAAAATAAATAGCACCACTCTTGCCCAAATAAATGATCAATATAATAATATAGCTTTTTAAAATGAGACAAAAAAGGTAAAGAAGCAAGGGAGCTAATTTTCTTTGATACCACTATATTCCTTGTCAAATGACAAAGATCCATGTATATAGTCCTAAAGAGAAAGTATCCTTTTAAAAACCATAATTATCATTTAAATAAAAATAGTAACAAACAGCTAAAACAATGAATGAGATATTTTTTTACCGTTTATGATCGTTATTAAAAATAGACTTTTTTTTTACCATTTCGACCGTTACGAAACCTTTTTTTTATCATTATAAAAATATTTGTATTTAACAATTTTAAACCGAGTGTGAAACAATTTTATATTTAAAAGATATAATAATGATTACCGATAAATTTGATCAAAATTAATATTATTTTTTTAATCAAAATAATTCAACATATACTATAGAATACGGTAGATTTAGATCATTTTATGTTCACAAGGGATAATTGGTTATAAAAAAAATCTCATTTCCATTAAAAAATTAATTTTTTAGACCAATTTTCCAATCTATCCTTATAATTGGAGTCATTCTTTAATTTGTTTCATACTTTTAAATGAGAAATTCAAATCTCATCTGGTTTATTAAAAAAACAAACATGATAAAAAAAAAATCAAATTTAATAACACACAATTTATTTTTTTCAAATATATATATTTTTATAATAAATCAAGTTAGGTTTGAGTTTCTCATATTAGAGAATATTTATTAAAATGATAGATTGAAAATGACTCGAAAATATAAAGACTAATCAATTGGGAACAATTAGGCTTGTTGGGAGATATTAGAGACTTGATCTAAAATATAATGATAATTTGAGCCAATTTTCTTTAATTTTGAATCAAATGACTCGAATTATTTAATAGATAAACTATTAAAGCATTAAGTTGTTATCATATTTATCATGCGAGTTCATTCAATTTAAATTAATTGATTTAGGGGTTTAATATATCATGTGTCTCTTTACTTTAATAAAATTATTGTCACAACCTCTCTACCTAGATATAGTTCATAAATGAACATATACTTTTGGATGTTGTTGTAAAATAACCCATCTATTATATTTTTTCCGATAGTTTGACTAACTTATATTAGTTGCTAACGAATGACCAATACAATATAGACATCTGTTAATTTGATAGTGAAAACATAATTTTGTTTATTGACTTTATTTTAAGTTAAGGTAACCGATAATAATTTAAAAAGATTTTAAATTGAAAAACAAAGATAAAAAATATTATTCCCAATCATGGTTTGCTATCTTTGGTTTGTTGAACCTAGATAAAAGAAAGAATTGACCAAAACAAAATAATTATCCTAAAAAATAGCTAATGTTTTCATCTTCTTTGCCATTCTTATGTATCCATCTTCTATGTCTAGGGTATGCTTAGTGGTCTTTCAATTTTTCTAATCATCTATATGTTCTTCATTTTTCTCTTTGTCTTTCATTGTCTTTCCTTCTCTCTTCGATTACATGTCTTTCTTTATCTCTATGTCACTCTTTGACTTTATGTCTCGTCTTCATCTATTACAATTAGGTTTTTTTTTTTTTTTTGTAGTCTCTCGTTTCCTAAAAAACATTTAGGGTTTAATTTTTCTCTTCATTTATCTATCTCTCTCATCTTTAAAAAATTGTCTTATTCACTTTGATGCAAGCATTATCAAAGGGATTTTATGCAAGTGTGAACCCGGAAACGGGATAGAACAATGACTTTTTCTTTAGGATTTGTCCTTGAGGTAACCCAACCATTATTTCTTTAGTATATATTTCATTTTTTAATTACATGTGGTCTATTCATACGAAGATTTTTTTTTTTTTTAAGGTATGCTTAAAGATGTCATATATTTTAACTTTTTATAATAGAGAGGAGTTCATCGGGACCAATAGTTTAGAATATATTAGGAGTGATGTAATAGAAAAGGTAATTGACCCGAAAAACTGTGTTTGGGGAGCTTGTTGAGATTGTGCATGGGCATAGAGTATTCTAATATTGGTAAATTATATTATACAATGGTAGAAAGTGGTTCCAAATTAGACCACAACCTAAGGACAATTAGAGAGTTAGATGATTCTTGTACTAAGGAGACTATAAATTACTTATTTAAGGATAAACAAGTTTAAATTTATGTCGAACATAGAGGGATCGTCTTTTTTTTTTTTTTGGCCAAGTGTTATGTGTACTAGATTGGGTATTAATAAGAAAGGTCGGAGGGTTAGTCCATACAATCTAAGAGAGAGTAATTGTAAAACTAGGACTAGGGGTGTTGTGATTGTGGAACAATATGCTAGTAAGGGTAGTGCTATTATGGGTGATTCAAGTAAGGGTAATATGAGTGATCGACTAGTTGAGGGCAATGTGGGCGGTGGTTGTTATGCCGAGGGCAATATAAAAGTGGTTGTCATGGTGAGGGAAATGTAGGCAATAGTGGTGGTGGCGAGGGCAATGTACGAAGTGGTTGTCATGATAAGAGAAATGTAGGTAGTGGTGATGATGGTAAAGGCAATATAGGGGGTGGTTATCATAGTGAGGGTAATGTAGGCGGTGGTGGTGGTGGTGTTGAGGATAATGTGGACAATGATGGAGTTGTTGAAGGCAATGTGGCGGTGATGGTCATGGTGAGGCCAATGTGGGTAATGTTTGTGCTTCTAAGGGTAATATGGGCAGCAGTAATCATGGTGAGGGCAATGTGAGTGGTGGTTATGGTGTAGATAATCCGGGTAATGATGATGATAACATAGAGATAGCTGAAAAAGATATTGAGGAGGAAAATTATTTGGTTGATCTTGCTTCTAAGGGTAAAAAGGGAGTTGTACAGGGTCAAAGTCGGGATAGTGATATATAAAGGAATACTTTTACTACCGGTTCGGAGGAGGGTGAACATAGACAAGAAAATGATGACGAGTGCAGTATTATTCGTATAAGAAAAAAAAAGCTAAAATGATGAGAGAAGATAAACAAAAAATTAAAAAAGAAGAAGAGGAAATAGAAGAGAAAAGGAAAAGATGTGATTATTAATGATGATGCACTACAAGAAAGTAAGCAATTAACAACGGAATTTAATGACGAATTCAATCTATCGCCATTTATAATAGTGATCGAATAATGATGAAATCTAAAATAACTCATATAGTGATGGATCAACAATTGTTTTGTGATGAAAAAGTAACTATGAAATAGTTTTCGTCGCTATTAAGCATGCAACGACGGATTGGCGATGACTTTGCAAGAGAATTTAGTGATAAAATACAAATTCCATCACTAAATGTAGTGTTGGGCAAACGAAAGAGCTTATACGTCACTATCCATTGCCAATCAGCGATGGATAACGTACTATCGGTAATTAGCAAAATTTGTGAAAATTTGTAAACAAAATTAACGATAATAGAAAATTTAAATCAATGATAGATATGATTGTTTCATTATTAATTAGCAACTGAATACCGATCGAAAATGTGTCTATCATAAATTTTGGTAAACTTCTTAATCCTTTTAGACAATTCAAGAAACGTTTAAAATTCAAATTAGCGATGGACAATTATTTTCTTCGCTAATTAGTAATGGATTAGCAATAGATGTGTGTCCGTCACTAATCTTAAACCCCTTTAACTTTCGGACTCTTTCTCTTCCTCCCTTATTTTCCCTTTTCCTTATTCTCCTCCTCTCCTCCACCGTTACCGCCACCCCCAAGAGCTCCAAACCACTACCCCACACCACCCCACTCCCTCCCCACCCAACTCGGCCTTACAAAAGGCCACTTTCTCCCCGAGATCCGTTACCAATCTCTCTTCTCCCTCTTCTCATTTAGTAATTTGCTCTCTCTCTCTCTAGATCATTATTTATTTAATTAGATTAATGTCGTTAGTTGTTTTTTTTTTTTATTAATTAGTATGTCAAATTTTATTAATTAATTGTCATTTGTTAAGTTGTTATTTTTTTTTATTGTTTTTATTAATTGTTATGTTAATATTAATCGTTAATTTGTTAATTTTTATTATTTTTGTTAATTGTTAGGTTAATATTAATTCTTAATTTGTTTGTTGTTATTTTAAAATATAATTAACATTTCAATTAAGATTAATATTATAATTAATTAGGATTAATATATTTAAGTTAATTTGATTAAGGATTGATCTAATTATAGTTATTTGAATTGATTATTAGAATTAAAATAATCGATTTAATTTTGATTATAATATTATAATTTATTAATCAATATCGATATTTAAAATTTAGTAAACGTTTGAATTAGAATTAATTTTATTAAGTTGATTTGAATTTATAATTAAATTAATTAGATTTAATTTTGATTATAATATTATAATTTGTTAATTAATATTGATATTTAAAATTTAGTAAATGTTTGAATTAGAATTAATTTTATTATGTTTAGTTAAATTTATTATTGAATTAATTAGATTCAATTTTGATTATAATATTATAATTTGTTAATTAATATCGATATTTAAAATTTAGTAAACGTTTGAGTTAGAATTAATTTTATTATGTTTAGTTGAATTTATTATTAAATAAATTAGATTTAATTTTGATTATAAAATTATAATTTGTTAATTACTATCGATATTTAAAATTTAGTAAACACATGAATTAGAATCAATTTTATTACGTTTAGTTGAATTTATTGTTAAATTTATTAGATTTAATTTTGATTATAAAATTATAATTTGTTAATTAATACCGATATTGAAAATTTAGTAAACATGTGAATTATAATTAATTTTATTTCATTTAGTTGAATTTATAATTAAATTAATTTGATTTAATTTTGATTATAATATTATAATTTGTTAATTAATATCGATATTTAAAATTTAGTAAACGTTTGAATTAGAAATAATCTTATTACGTTTAGTGAAATTTATTATCAAATTAATTGGATTTAATTTTGATTATAACATTATAATTTTTTAATTAGTATAAAAATTTTGTTTAATTGTCTTAGATAATATTATTAGGCTAAGACACGTGGTTACGGTAGTCGTGGACGTGCATCCCCTATTGATGGCTACCTACGAGGATCGCCAACCAACGTCGATCGAGGATCTCCTACTTTAGGCGTTAAGCATGGGTCCCTCGGCTCTCGAGGCCATAGATGTTCTTCTTTTTCATCCTATAGAGCTAGCAAATTTACAACATCTTTGGCCGTAGAGGTTTTCGCATCAAGAATAGAGGTTCGCGCACCGATTATACGAGTTCCAGCCCGATCGAAGTGGGTGCCACTTTCAACGATGTATCTACCATTCTAGAGAGCTCCCAAAGTTCATCTAGTCCGTAAATTATTTCTATCTCTCGTAGATGGTATGTTATTTTTTAAAGATAATGTTATTATTTGTTTATTTGAATATGTTATTTCAATAATTACTTTCTATTTTTATTTTTATTTTTTTGTGATGTTGAACAGTTTTAGTTAACCTAGTAGAGATTATTCTATCAAGATAACAAATATTTTCAAGTCGTGGTTGGACATCGGTGAGTCGGCGTGGAAGTCCGTCTCGGATATCACCATACAATTTTTACTTTAGTGAATTTAGGATAACGTTTTATTAATTTATTTTATTATATTTAAAATATTAACTTACCATTAAATTAAGTAGTTAATATTAATTATTTTCATTCATATATAAGTGTTTTTACTAAGATCCGGCCATCGAGGCAATGGCTAGAGAAGCTTGGGAGGCTCGGCAAAGAAGTGCTACTTCGACTTCATCCACATCAATGGTTTGATGTCCGAACGAGCCTCATTTTGTTAGGCGTAAGGTTTGGGACTCGTGAAATTAAGATTTTGCTAGACCTAATCACTAGGCTCGTTTAGAGCAAGCATCATGGAACCAAATATCGAAAACCGATGGATCGGGTGCGAGCCCTTACGGACATATATAGAGGTCCATCTCTTCGAAAGAGCATGCTCACTATTTGGTAAATCATATGCTATATTATTAATTAAATGTTTAAGAAAATTTTAATTTACATCTCATGTTATTTTTGATTCATTTTTTTAAGAGGCAAAATTGGAGCACGAGCCAACGAGTTTTGAGTCAGTTTCGACCATTCATAAGTGGTGAGATGGTTCTTTCATCGATCATCATTCCTAGCATGCAATGGTAAGTGTTTTCCATTTTTAAATTTTATGTATAAAAATATAATCTAAAACTTATTTTAATCTTTTAACGTTATAATTATTTCAATTATGCAAGAGCGTGTTGAAGAGCTCATACTAGAAGTTTTTCCGATGTAGTAGGTAAAAGAAATCCTAGAGCCGGAGGTTGATAAGAAGGCCATATACCTCGAGGTTGTAAGGGAAAAAAGAGAAGAGGGTATATGGTGTGGGCACATAGGCATCGTATTATCTATCCTAATCAAGTTGCGCTAGCTTATCTTTTATGTCATCACATTATACGGATGACATGCCTAATAAGGAGGTTCGAAGGCGGTATAAGGAGGTAAAGTAGGCAATATAAGGGATGCAAGGCGGATAAGATGAGTTGCAAAACATTGTCATGCAGCGGCAGAGTTCCATACGGAGGCTGCAGTCTCGGTATAACACACTTGGCTCCATGTTGACTAGGACGAGTGTAGACATCCGGATTATCCGTAAAGGACGCCATCGTCCCTCTCATCGAACCACGGGACGAGGAGAGGGGATTGGATGATTAGAATAAGTGACATTTCTTTTCTTTTCTTTTCTTTTTTTTTATGTACAAACAAATAATTTATTTAATTTTCATTTTCAATAAAAAAAACAAATGTTAATAATGCCTTTTTTTTCCTAATTGTTAATTACTATTGAAAATATTATAAATTTAAAAACTAAAAAAAAATAATTTTTCAATTAAAAAAATTTAATAAACGTAGCGACGGAATAACAATGGATTGGCATTTTAAATTAGTGACGAAATAGCAACGAAACATTTAGCGATGGACTTTGAGATGAAATAGCAACGACACGATCTTGGGATTGACGACCCATTAGCAATGAAATTTAGTCTTTTAGCGATGACATTTCCATCACTATTTAGCAATGGATATGTTTCTTCGGTTGTTAGGGTTAGCAATAAGCATTTTAGCAAAAAAATTTATACGATCGCAAATCTATCTCTAAACACTATCCATTGATAATCGGCAATTTCCTTATTGTGATGGTGATTATGAGTATGTTATCAATATAAAAGGCAAAGACACGAATTACAAATCTAATGATAGTTTTAGTTACATCGGTATTGAAGATGAGAGAGATGCAGAACCTACAAGGGTAATTAAATCAAAGAAAATTTACTTGAATCCTAATAAGGAGAAACCCTTCTTTTAGTTGGGAATGATTTTTCTAAATAAGAAGATATTTAGAGATGCAATTATAACAAACTATAGAAACCTAAAATTTGAGAAAAGTGATCCGGATAGATATAGGGTTATATGTAGAGATGATAATTATAAGTGGGTAATTTTATGTTTTCCTCATTTGGACACTAAAAATTAGGTTGTGAAAACTTATAATGGTGAGCAAACATGTATTCAAACCTCACACAATAGATTAGTCAATTACAAGATAATTCATGAGTACTTCAAAAAGAGAGGGATTAATGTCACAATAATGCATGCTTTTAAATTGGTTGATGAAACACTAAAAGATTTGCATTGTATTGTAAGTTTTTCTAAATACAAGAATATTTTGAGATTGTTGAAAAACATATTCTTTGGTAAAATTGATGATGAATTTAAAGATGGTGATAGATATTTCAAAAGCATATATGTTGATTTTGATACATTGATTAGGGAATTTAAGCATGGATGTAGAAAAGTAATTGGGTTTAATGGTTGTTTTCTAAAAGATCCTCTTAAAAGAGATATTTTATGTGTTATAGGTCGAAAGCTAATAACCAAATGTTTCCTATTATTTGGGCTATTATGAGATGGGAAAGTAAGAAAACTTGGAAGTTGTTTATCATTTAGTTGATGGTTGATTTGAGAATTAGCATGGGAACTGGACAAGGATATACTTTCATTTCGATGTTTACAAGGTATTAATATTGGTTTTTTGTTTACATTCAATTGTTTTTTTTATTGCTTTGCTTGGGCTATTGAATTAATTATATTTTTTTTTACGTTCAATTATATGTTTAATGCTCGTTTCAACCGTTGGTTTTATAGGATTTGATTGGAGCAATTCATGAGCTATTGCCGGATGCTAAGTATAGAAAGTGTGCAAGGCATATCTTTGTCAAATGGAGAAAAATTAATAAAGGTACTACTCTAGAAAAGCAATTTTAGACAACCCGTAAAGTAAACACACTAGTAGACTTTAAATAGAAATTGAAAAAGCTTGGTGGGATAAGAAAATAATTTTTTTTAGAAATAGCTCAACCTTTTGGTACAAAGATTTATTCAAAAAGCATTATAAGTCCGACATAATTGATAACAACTCATGTGAGACTTTCAATGCATTTATAATGAAGTCAAGTTTCAAAAGTATTATTTATTACCTTGAAACTATTAGACATCTAGTGATGGCTAGAAATGCTCGGAGGAGGAATAAATATGCAGAGAAGTATAAAAGGAGGATTGGTTCAAGAATATGGAAGAAGATCAAAGATGCACACGATGAATTTTGGAGATACAAAATAATACATAATAGCCATCATGAATATGAAGTGAATACTCGGATAATACTTATGTTGTTGACTTGGAAAAACATAAGTACACTTATAGAAAGAGGGACCTAACTAGGATATCATGTGGTCATGCAATTTATATTATCGAGTGTTGAAACTAAATGAGGTTGAGTATGTTGTTGAGTACTATAAGTTAAAGAAATTCAAGAAGAGTTATGAGCATTGCATTTAGCCGATGCAGAGTAAGAAATTCTAGCCTAAAAGTGGCAAAAAGGTTGTTTTTGCACCAATTATAAAAACCAAAAGAGGTAGACCAAAAAAACTTAGGGTTAGAGAACAATGAAAGCCTTCTTCTATAACACATTTATCTAGAAAAAGATAGAGTTATAAGATGCACATATTGCTATAGAAAGGGACATAACAATAGATCATGTATTGAAAAGGTAAACATATTCACTCATTTGCTAAACCGTGATTGCTTCAATTAAGTTTATATCGTAATTTTGTTTTTCATATGTTATTTATGTAGAAAAAGAAAAATAGTGATGGTTGTTTAGCTGGAGGTGTTCTAATTGGTCATGATGCTAATGTTTGATAATGTCGTGAGTGTAATTGGTGGTAAAGATGTGGGCGAGTGGACATCATGATGTTCCGAATGTAATTGATGGTGGAGATATGGACGAGTGGACATGATGATGTTATGAATGTAGTTGCTATTGGAGATGTGAACAGGTGAACATGATAATCTTATCAATGTAGTTGCTGCTTGGAGATGCGGACAATGAACATGATGATGTTATCAATGTAGTTGTTGCTAGAATATGGATAATAAATATGATGATGTTATCAATATAGTTGTTGTTGGAGATATGGATACTACTGGTGGAGATGGTGGTCGGTCGAAAAATCTAGATACTCGTTGGATTTGAAGTTACACCAATTGCCGGAAATTAAAAAAGAAAAAGAAAAAAGTATATAATGCCACTCGTTGGAATTAGCGAATTACTTACAAGAATAACAAGAAGAAATAAAATTGTTCGACCAAATTACCTAAAAAAGTAACAAAGAGAAATGCCAATCATTGATGTTGTATTTATTTATTTTGCCATATGGGGTTAGATATTGTCAATTACCTTTTAAACACCATTACTCATTTTGGATTTTTTTTTTTTTTTACTTAAAACTTTCCTTATGAAGAAAGAATCCTTCACTTAAATACAAAACAAATCATATCGGATACAATATACAAAAAGTTATTCCCATGTTTAGCAATTTCGACTTCAACTCTTCAATCTTGCTAACCTAGGTTCTTCCTTTTCTTTCTCATAGCACAACTTCATAAAATTATGTTCAACAAACAATAAATCATACTTTTCCTTCTTTTTGCATATCATCTTTCAATCTTTTATTGGTAATATATAATTCCCTTTCACATATCTTCAACCCATTAATAACATCCCCAACTTTTTCTATTTCTCTAATTTCGGGATTAATAAACTCATAAAAATCACATCATTTTTTTTTCCTTTTTAACAAACATGAAATCACAAACTTGGATTTTCATCTATCCATGATGTCCATTTTGGTGTCTTCAAACCACAATAGCACCTTTTTTCTAGAAACTCATAATCCCATATGGGTTTTTAATGAACAAAAGAGCATAATTTCTTGTATATTGCTCTGCTTGATATCGTTGAGGAAAAAGAAATTGACAAGGAAGAAGAGAAAGAAGAAGAAGACACAAAAAGTGATGAATTGTAGCAACAAACATGTAAGTAAAGATTTGTTGCTCAATTGCAACAAGAAAAAAAAGGGAAAATTTAGAGTTAATCAAATTGAAGATTTAAGTTTGCTAGAGTTTTAGTAAGAAAATGCGTCCAATTGCAAATATATATAAGAGATAGCAAATAATGGTTAAGACTAATGTTGTTTTTTTTTTAATCTTTTTTTTAATTTAAAATTATTTTAGCTACCTTAACTTAAAAAAAATAAAAAAATAAAAAATTATATTTTTACTCTCAAATTAACAAGTGTCGATATTGTATTGGTTATTCGTTAGTCAACTAATATAAATTAGTATAAGGTCATTTATGAATTATAACTGGATAGAGGGGCTGTGATGATACTTTTGTTAAAATATAGAGACATAAGATGTATTAAACCCAACAATTTAGATTTAAAGAACATAATGAAATAGGAAAGGAGGGAACACAAAAATAATTAAAAAGTAAGATAAAATTTTTTATAAATAAAAATAAGGTATGGTTACATAAATATTAATTAAAAAACAAATGAAAGGTTGGAAAATCATAATATTAAAATAAATTTGGTGTGAGATTCGCATAATTTATGGAATAAAATGAATTTTTTTTTAATAACTAAAAACTTTTATTAGGACAAAAAATTAGCCCAAAAACACAAGACCCAATCCATCAAACACCCTTAAGCCTGGGCCTGCCCAGGTCCTCACCAAAAAAATGAAAAATTTTCTGTGTAGACTTTCTTGTACCCTGGGCAGCCATCCTCCAGCCTCCAATCTGTTCTGTTGCTCACCCATCATGTGTCCTGATCCACCGAAATCCATTGTCAAAAACTCCAGAGTTTCACACGCCAGTACCCACTAACAACCCAAAAACACACAAACCAATTTCCATCCCAAAAGGAACAGAGAAAAATGGAAAAGAAAGAGAGAAAGAAGGTTCAGATACTCAAGTTAGAAACTGAAAGCAACAATCTTGATGACATCTCCTGCTTGTTTTTTCAAAAGGGAATAATGGGTTCATTTCTTTTAATCAGTATCTTCAGTCTCCTCCTCAGAGTTGCAGTTTCTCTTCATTCATACTCAGGTGCAGGCAGTCCACCAAAATTTGGTGACTTTGAAGCTCAACGTCATTGGATGGAGATTACAACTAATTTACCAATCAAAGATTGGTACTTTAACACTACTAACAATGATTTAAGTTATTGGGGTCTTGATTACCCTCCATTAACTGCTTATCAGAGTTACTTTCATGGTCTTTTTTTGAAGTACTTCGATCCAAATTCAGTTTCACTGTTTACTTCTCGTGGTTATGAGACATGTTTTGGGTAAGGATCACAACCCATTTGTCAATTTTTGTTCTTTCTATGTTTTATTGAGTTATTAGTTGTGTTGGGTTTTGAATGTTTTGTGTTTTGTTTGCAGGAAGTTGTTAATGAGGTGGACAGTTTTATCATCTGATTTGTTGATATTTTTCCCTGCTGTTCTTTATTTTGTTCTTGTGTATTATGGGGGTACCCGGTCTGGTTTAAATAAGAGTGATGTAGCATGGCATATTGCTGTTATTTTAATCAATCCGTGCTTGATCTTAATCGATCATGGTCATTTTCAGGTTTTGGAAACAATTTGTGTTTGCTTGCTTTTTCTTCTTTGTTTTTTTTTTTTTTTTAATTGAATTCTGAAGTATGTGATTGTTCTCATATTTTGTATTTTTTTTTCAGTATAATTGCATCAGCTTGGGCCTTACTTTAGGTGCTGTGGCTGCTGTGCTTTCGCAGAAAGATCTTTTAGCTTGTGTTCTGTTCTGTCTCTCTCTTAACCATAAACAGGTGCTTCTCTCTTTGTTTTTGCATTAAATGACTAATTTATTAATTTAGAATGGCCTTCTGTTATTGCTTTAATAGTTTGAAGACAAGTGATGTATGTACATTGATCCCATATTTTCACATATTTGAGGTCTGTATTTTTATGTGGTCAACAATTAAGTTAATAGGAAATGGTGACATTTAGAGTTAGCTTAGCAAATTGTAAATAAATGTTTTTTCCTTCAAGAATTTAAGGGCAGTCAACCTATTAAGTCAAATTAGGTCGGATGAGGACTGAGATAATGTGTTTAGCAGGAAATTTGCTCCAGGAGCTCTTTTGAGGGTGTTGTCAGAAAGTGTATGTTTGTCTTCCTTGAATGAACTGCTGCAACATACTAGTTTATTGGTGTCTAGCAGGAAATTGGCTCGAGGAGCTCTTTTGAGGGAGTGTAAGAAAGAGTGTGTGTGTGTGTGTGTCTTCACTGAACGATCTCTCTGCAATATAGAAGTTAATTGGTGTACAATATAATGTCGATAGTCTGGGCTCAGCACTAAGTTTCATAACATTTTCCATCATGACTAAAAAAACCTTGCACTTTTTTGGATAAGTAACTTTCGTATCTTGTTTTATGTACAGAGTGAATATTATGCATTGCCGATGTCTTACCACCTTGTAAAAAGCTGGAAGAATATGACCTAGCAATGGTAACTACTTTAGCATGACTGATTAAGTGTGGCCAGTTTTGATAGGGACTCCGATTAGGACTGTGTAGTGAATAGTGAGTGGATGCTCACTGTAGTTTTATTTCCCAGTTTATATTCTAATTGTGACAATGGTATTTACTGCTGACCGAACAATGTGATTCCATGATTGAGAGGATTGCTAATTGTTAATATTTATAGGAGAATCATAGAAGTCATTGGTGTGACTTGTTGTCTGAAGGTTATTTTTAGTTTCAAAAGAAGACATATCTGGTTTTACACTCATAAAGTATTGAGGCTCGGTAACTTTGCTTGGCGGGTTTTAGCCAATGTCTGTTTATTGATTCGAATCAATAAATAAGAGACCTGATTCAGATATCCTTACCTCTGGATTGCGAAGAAGCACAGTGACCTATGATAATGAAGGGATGTCTTTTGACTTCAGTTATCTGTTTGTATTCCACTTTGGAATAAGCAAATGCTTGATCTGTCCATGTTGGGGATAGACAGTAAATAAGCATAAAATATCATTATTTATAATCGACTGATTGATCATCCTAGTATATCCCTGTAATCAATGATTTGGTTATTCTTAATTTGTTCATTCTTTATTAATTTAGAAGGGCCTTCTGTTAGTACTTTACTAGTTTGAAGACAAGTGATGTATGTACATTGATCCCTTATGTATTAGTTTGAAGACAAGTGATGTATGTTCAGTGATCCCTTATGTTCTCTTAACTGAGGTCTGTACTTGTATGTGGTCAACAATTAAGTTAATCGGAAATGGTGACATTTAGAGTTAGCTTAACAAATTGTAAATAAATGTTTTTTCTTCCAGAATTTAAGGGCAGGCAACCTATTGAGTCAAATTAGGTTGGATGAGGACTGTGATAATGTATTTAGCAGGAAATTTGCTGAAGGAGCTCGTTTGAGGGTGTTGTCAGAAAGTGTATGTTTGTCTTCCTTGAGTGAACTGACTGCAACGTACAAGTTTGTTGGTGTATAGCAGGAAATTGACTTGAGGAGCTCTTTTGAGGAAGTGTAAGAAAGTGTGTGTGTGTATGTCTTCACCGAATAAACTTTCTTCAATATACAAGTTAATTGGTGTACAATATAATGTCAGTAGTCTGGACTCAGCACTAAGTCTCATAACGTTTTCCATCATGACTTTAAGGACCTTGCACTTTTTGGATAAGTAATTTTCTTGTCATGTTTCATGTGCAGAGTGAATATGATGCATTACCAATGTCTTACCACATTGATAAAAGGCTGGAAGAATAATGATCTAGCAATGGTAACTACTTTAGCACAACAGGTTAAGTGTGGCCAGATTTTATAGGGACTCTGATTAGGACTGTGTGTAGTGACTACTGAGTGGATGCTCACCGTAGTCTTATTTCCTAGTTCAGAGGTCGAATGCAGCTTATATTCTAATTGTGATGATAGTAGTTACTGCTGACCAAACAATGTGATTCCATGATTGAGAGGGTTGCTAATTGTTAATATCTATATGAGAATTATAGAAGTCATTGGTATGGCCAGTTGTCTGAAGGCTTTTTTATTTTCAAAAGGAAGACATATCTGGTTTTATACTCATAATGTATCGAGGCTCGGTAACTCTGCTCGGAGGGGTTTTAGCCAATGTCTGTTTATTGATTCCAATCAATATATAAAAGACCTGATTCAGATATGCTTACCTCTGGATTGCAAAGAAGCACAGTGAAATAAGACAATGAATGGATATCTTTCGACTTAGTTGTCTATCTGGACATTCTTAATTTGTATTCCACTTTGGAATATGCAAACGTACGATCTGTCCATGTTGGGAATATACAGTTGATAAGCATAAAATATCATTATTTATAATTGACTGATCAACCGTCCTGGTAAATCCCTGTAATCAATGATTTGGTGATTGAAGAAAAAACAAGCTGATATTTGATTGATCTAACATCCTGATGCATGTTTGAACATCTCATATTTGAGTCCATGTGAACATTGACATTGGCTGCTGCATATTGTACCTTCAAGATAGATTTCAAACAACTCCTGTTGTTAATCATGTGCAACTTGGATGAATACACAGAGAGGATTTAATTACCGCAATTGTCAGATTTCTGGTGCCAACCTTATTATTATCAGTCTTTCATCAATCATGTGAAAAGTTGTAAGGTAGACTTAGTCTACCAACCTACTCATGGATTAAGCCAATAAATGCGTAATGGGTGAATTCTAACTTCAACACATAGGATCCATTTATTTTCTCGACACTGTCACTTCACTATTGGCCTAGTCTATGGATGAGTTGATAGACTAAGTCTATCTGACTATTTCTCCAATTATGCATACCAAACTTTTCGCAGAACCCAAAGTCATGTTGACTCTTATTATTTCATATATGTTTCCTTTCCCTTACTAATTTCTTTGTATTTTAGTAAATGATATTCTTTTTCCATAAATTAGATGAAATTATATTCAAATACCCATAAATTTACTGATACTTTGCAATACTGACTGCAAAAAGTGAGAAAACACAGAACCGAAAACTTGTTATGTGCTTTTCTCTGTTTTGATTTGGATACTGATGGGATCCTGAAAATCCTATCTTTCCATGCATATTTATGGCAGTATAGACTTGCATGTTTAGGGATTATAGCTTTGGCTGTTGCACTTCTTAAGCTAGTGTAGGCAGAATATTGAAGAAAAGAAACTACTGTTGAAGATGGATCTAGTCTATTAACGATCGTTTTCTTTCACTGAATTGCATTCTCTGCATGTTGTGTGCATAGAAGCCATATTGGGGGGAGAAACTAATGTATTTATTCTGAGAAACAAGAACTAAAAATAATGAATACCTCATATATCCTTCCTGACCAAATTAAATAAGAATTTCCTGTTATTCTTCTTTTTACTTATCTACACTTGTTATTAGTTTGATGTTAACTATAAATTCTAAGGTGAAGTTTTTCTGTGTTTTCTTCCAGATGAGTGCATACTATGCACCAGCGTTTTTCAGCCATCTGTTTGGTAGCTGCCTAAGGCGTAAGAATCCCCTGCTTGAGGTTTTTAAATTGGGCTTGGCAGTAGTAGGAACATTTGCTATTGTTTGGTGGCCATATCTTCATTCAAGAGATGCTATTTTTGGGGTATGAAGCAGTATTAATATGTCAGAAAAAGTTTGTTGGTCCTTGTTTTTATTTGCATTGGTTAACACATGTATGCATTTCCATTCCTTTACCTTAGCATTTCACACTTAACATGCGATTTCAATACGTTGAACACATGACCACCTCTTGTTGCGGTTTGTATTTGTGTTTAGCGCATGTTTATGGTCGCTGAAGCTATGCTACTTAATGGCACTTCTATTGATCATTGTTGCTATTTGACTGTCCAGGCAAACTGATACTTGACTAGCTCTTTGATTGGCTGGATATTCCAGTTTTATATATATTTGAATTTTGTAAGATGCGTTTTAGGCACAAGCACTGGCACTCCAATTTCTGTATCTTTTATTTGTTTTTTTCTTTTTTCCTTTTGTTGATTGTGTAATAAAGGACAGCAAATTATAAAGAATGACTTCTTCCTCTTTGCTTTAGAGTCTCTATAATTTCTTCCTCTTTGCTCTAGAGTCTCTTGCAACCTAATACTTTCTTATAGGCAAGCAGCTGCAGTGAGAGAAGTACATGCATGATTTCTTTGGTAATGAAAATTGATCAGGCTGCTAGATTCAATTCTCAGTGTTGTTGCCTGCTCACATTGTGTCTTTGTATAAATGAAAACATTGATTAGACTACTAGGATGAATCAAAACACTTGATGGTCGTCATTCTTCTCTAAAGTTGATTGTTGCACTCCTCAAGTATCTCTATTTACTTCAAGTTGGTGCTTGGTACAGGTTCTTTCACGGCTTGCTCCTTTTGAGAGAGGGATATATGAAGATTATGTGGCTAACTTTTGGTGCAGTACGTCGGTTTTAATTAAGTGGAAGAGATTATTTACAACACATTCTCTGAGGTTTCTCAGCTTAGTTGCTACTATATTGGCTTTTCTGCCTTCAATGATTCAACAAGTATTGGCTCCCAGCAGCAAAGGTTTCCTTTATGGGTTGCTGAATAGTTCTTTTGCGTTCTACTTATTTTCATTCCAAGGTATGTAGAACTTTCTCAAATATTATATATTTTTATATAATCTCGCGTGTAGCAAGTATTTGAGTCACTGCTTATTAAAACTGCAGTTCATGAGAAGTCCATTCTGCTGCCGCTTCTGCCCGCAACCTTGTTGACTATGGAATTGCCTGGTGTGTACTCTATGTTAGTAATGCTTTCTGCATTGTTCTCTATGTTTCCTCTTCTGTGTCGTGACAAACTGGTTGTGCCCTATATAGCTCTTTACGCACTCTCCATCCTTCTTTACTTTGCACCTAGTGGAAGACTGGATATTAAGAAGCATCTTTCTTGGCCTATGATTACATTCTTAATTGTGATGTTTTCATATCTGTGCTCTCTTGTTCTTCATATTATATACCTCACCACTCGCCCCCGGAAAATTATCCTTTCCTTTTCGAAGCAATGATCATGGTTTTCTGCTTCTCTCATTTCTTTGGCTTTACTGTTTACACCAATGCAAAGCAATGGATGCTGCCAAGACAATTTACATCAAGGGATAAAGAAAAGAAAATTGATTGATTTTGTGTTTTTCAGTTTAGGTTCCTAGTGTTAGCATTTAGAATTTTTTTTGTTCTGCTGGTGGGAGCATAGATATGGAAGTGGCAAGGGCATATGTAAGCACTTGGAAACTGCAAACCTTTGTAGTGGATCCCATCTCAATTGAATTAAGCAGCCCTAGTCTCCCATTTATCATTTTGTTCCATGTTTGTTTGTATCAGTGGTGGGAATTGATGACTTATAGTTTTTGAATTAAATTTTCTTCAAGTTTTCTGTGATGGTTGCTGGGTCTTTCATTAGATTTGCCAGTACTGTTTCTTTCCAAAGTTGTTCAGTTATGCATCATGAGCAAATCCCATTTCCAATTAGCAATCAGGAAAAGTGCATAGCAACCACATGCGGAGGTCATGGCGAGGTGACTACCATCTCTCTTATCATTAGTGTAAATTGCATCTACCGATGTGTGTATGATGTGTGTATGCTATTAGATTAGATGAATCAACTTGACATGTAGAGCGACGTCCTCTACTTAATTAAGGTACGCAGGTTGTGGTTTTGAGCTTGGCACCTATCTGGTACCCCACTTTTGAACTTACGTGAGATGGGGCAAGTAAATAAGGGAGTCCTTCGAACTTAAACTTGGAAGGGATTTTCAAGAGGAAAATACACCTCATGGACCCTGGAAACTGTTTGGGGTCATAGAGGATGATCACATTAGGCCTGGTTAGCCCTTGATTTCCAGGTGCTTCAAAATTCCAGTGCTTTCATAGTTACATCAAGCATGGGTTCCCCAATAAGCCTTCTGGCATACCACAATCCATGTCCCCATCCCAGAAAGAAAAATGTCTGGGGTTCGAGTCTTTTCTTCGTAACCAAGAAAATTCAAAAACATGGGACCATATTTCAGGATGGATGAACTTCATAATAAACACAATCCATTCAAGTAATAGCAAAATAGCAACAACTTTGGGAGTTGAAGCTAAAAAATGGAACGTTCAACTCGGACCTAAACTTGTATCTTGATGATTTCTCACTATAAAGTGTGAAAGTGAAATGCTTGGTGAATTGTGGAGATTTGTCATGTGAGATGCCCTCTTAAGTAACGTCACGTTATCATACGTTACTTTTTACTTATGAGATGTAAACATTCATTTATTGAAAGATAATATAAGAATTTCAATAAATCACTTATTGAGAATTCAGTTACATTGAACCTTTTCTACTTTAGTTCTTGCCATCTTCACTCAGTCAGACATGATGTAAGTGATAAAATTCTTGCAATCTTTACCCATAATTAGATATGATGTAAAATTACGCAGTAAAATTTCCCATCATTACTAGAATTTTCGAAAAGTGATTTATCGAAAATTCAGTTACGATAAACTTTTTTACTTAGTTCATTGAAATCTTTATTATGTGGTAAAATTCGAAATCATGTGATTGTCATTATCAGAAATGATGGAATAAAAAGAGAAGGAATGTTAACATATGGTACCTGTAAATTAATACTCGTATATTAAAGAACAATCATAGAATGTGAAGAAAAGAATAGATTCATGGGCTAATTTGTTTTAGGTAGACGGACATTGATGTCCTAAATACTGCACCACACAACCTCTGTATTAGGTTGCTCAATGTCCTCCTCAGGATTGAAGAAAGAGACTTTTCATCTTTTGATTGCATTTTTTCAGGTTCGACAGTGACAATTCTTTTCCAGGTTCATCAAGGACAAGATAATGTCCTGCTGTAACCACACCATTCATTCTCCTGAATGGGCTAGCTTGATGTAAAACAACGTGGACCTTTCCATATCCTACAAGCACTAGACTTGTTCTGTCCTTTTACAGTTTTTATCAATCAAATCTCAGGTCCATTAAGTAGCCGGCTTCAAGACCCATGTTAGGTTAAAAGCCTGAAAGAATTTTCTTTCTTTTCTACCTTATGCCCTAGACGACTTTAACATGGATGGTCAAGCAATTTGGGCTCAATCTAGTTTTTAGGTTGGGAAGGGATTCGAAAGTAGGGCTTTGCAAGAATTATGAGGTTTTTATATACGCTAATTCTTTGCAATGAAAAGTTGAATAAGAAATTTATGCTATTATCGCCAACCGACCTGAGTTTAGCAAATGTGAGATTAAAGTTTGCTGTGTGGGCCTCATTAATATACTACTTGTTTCGTTAAAAACCATGACTTTTTGCATATTAATGCCAACCACAAGAACTAAGAAGGAATCTAAGATCGATAAGCTATTCAATACCATAAGTCCTATGGTTTTATTTTATTTTTGTAATTTTTTACATTCACACAAGACTTATTGGAGAATCCATTAATGAAAAAGTAAGAATAATTATGTATACATCAAGATAGCTCAATAGTTTGTGTTCATTAAAATTCTAAAGGTTGTAATTTTAAATATACTAGTCTATATATGAATAATTTATTTAAAATTTGAGAAAAGAATTTATCGAAAATTAAGTTGGCGTGAGGATATCCTTAATATTAAAACCGAAAGATAATGAAAAAAAAAAAATCTATTTAAATGCTAAGTTTTGAATCATATATTCGCAAGCCGTTTTTCCTTTTCTTTTTTGTTCTTTCCCTTCTGCATTAGTGCTTGTTTTTGTTTATGTATTCCTTCGACCAAAAACCAAGACACGCATGTACAAGGAGCAAATGTAACACATGCATCGTTTTGCCTTGTCTCGATCAATCCATTTCATATTTCGAAAAGGGAAACAAAACCCAACCATTTGCTAGAACAAGAAAATGGATGCATTATCATGTGGGGTTCTTTTATTAAAAAATTGTCTATACTTTCTCATTTTAAACCTAATCTCAACCGTACGAAGCATCTATACTTTTGACACAAGGTACGACTTTGATCGAATTTGTCCTCCATTTTGTGTGCCTTTGTGTGGCACGCTGCCCCCTAACAAGGGCACTCATGCTCCTACCTCCCCATGAGAAGTTCTATGCTTTCGTTCAAAGGCTAATTCTTTAGGACTAATTCGTATGTTCATGTCCTCTCCCATTCCTATCCTTTTTTGACTAATTCAGTCAACAATTCGTTTCCATTTTTTTTTAATTCCCTCTTAAATTATATTTGAAATGTGGAACCAATGTGCAATTTAATCATTAGCAGATTATGATTCCCTGAAACCCTCCTTTCCGCTATTGATGACATTTTTTTAATTAATCTTTGTTTTAATTGCAATATATTTCTGTATATATGCCTTTTAGAAAAGTCACTTTAGACCCTATTAATTTTACTATAATCATGGATAAGTTTTACGCACCGACTCACCAATCCCTGCCATCAGATTACTTAGTGAGATTGCATTTTCTGTTCATGGAACATATCCAAAGATGATACGATAAATTTTGGATTGTCGAAAAGGATTCTAAGTTCCCTTTTGATCATAATTTTTAGCTATTCCAGATTAATTTTCTAAATTTGTATTGTTAGCTTTCGGTTGGATACTTTGCATGCCTTGATTCTTTATCCACTTGGTTTATGAGCGCGCCACTCTCTTTACGAGGAATGTCAAAGAAACTTGGCACACAATTACTTCTTTTTTGTGTGTTCATATTACCATTGATAGGTGCTTTGCATGTGCCATGCATTGTTTAAAAAAAAAAAAAAAAAAAACTACAGGATTTTAGATAATTCTCATAGAGAATTTTCTATTTGTATTATATATATAAATTTATTTAAAGAATTCGAGATTTCGGTTTTTTGTTTATAGTTATAATTCTCTAATTTGAGTTTCTTCATATAGTTTGCAAGGTAATTAATTGCTTGAGTATAGTGCAGCTTATAGACTAGCTTGGATACATAGACGGACGATCATAGACACATGGATGATTAAGCAAATATTATTACAAAATTTTAGCAACCTTCTAAAGTGATTAATGAACCTTGTGATTAAAAAGATTTGTTTAATAACCACTAGAATTTATGTTAGGGTTTGTAAGTGTAAAATTCTCATGAATTGCTAGTTTTATCATATCAAATAATTAGATTTAAAGCTATTAATTATGAAGATAGCATTTAGTTAAACAAATATTGTCAAATAAATTTGATTCGGTTTGTGGGAACATTTTTCTAATTAATTTGATCTTGGATATATATATATATATATATATGCATGCTACATTTATTGTTGTTATTGTTATTATCATTATTGAAGATGTTGGTATGCTAAATTTATGAGGTATATTAATTAATCGTTATGGACATTTCGTCAGAAACAACATGTTGGGGATCCCATGCAGGCCTGCTTCTTTAACCGAGTAGATTATAAATTAGTCCTTTTATTTTCGACAAATAAATTAATTATTTTTTCGTTTAAAAAATTAATTATTTATTCTTTTAATTATTATTAATCATGTTTAATTTAATATTATTTTATTTGTTTTTTCTCTTTTCTATTTCTTGAAATAAAAAATCAAAATAAATAAGAAAAAATGATTTAGTTACAAGAAAATTTAAAAATATGGGCACTAAATAATTATTTTTTTGAATTCTTTTTGAAACTAGAAGGACTGAATTTATAATTTACTCCTCTTAAATCCTTCACCAAAAAAAAAAAAAAAAATAAAAAAATAAAAAATAAAAAGAGATAAGAAAAGAAATAGGAAATTCATGCATCTTCTAGCTTGTCGTAAATTAAGAAAACAAGCTAGCTTTAATTGT